TAGCAATCAGTGTTTTACGGTAATGTGGTTTGTCCAGGGAAATTTCTTAGTTAAAGCAGTTCAAATACTGCTCTGGTAGTCACCAGAATTCACAGCTCGGTTGTTTGTGTACATGTGGAGTCTCCCTTGGCTCCCATGTGCCACAGAAGGCATCTAGAAAATTCCATTTACTCTTGGCTGGCCAGCCTTGGAGGGGTTGCCTGCTCAGGGCACAATAACCCTGTAGCTTAAGGGTAAAGGGTGAGTGACTCTACTTCCAAAGTGGTTCAATAAAGACCCATTTTATACCTGTGGCTTAGTGAGCAGTAGGTCCTCCGTTCAGTCTCAAAAGCACCCTGGCTTGGACCATAAAGCATATGGTCTCCCTTGGTAAGAGGTCTAAACCAGACCAAGAATTGCAGAGAGGTCCTGGCCACACCACAGAGAAGCTGCAGCACAAGAAGAGTGTGGGACGGGCAGGTCATCCAAGGAGCCCACCAACCCCTGTCCGGGAAAGAACACAGCTGAATTCACTGACACTGTATCTGCCCGTGGGACAAGGGACACAGCTGTGGGCTCAAGGATAGGATGAAGCCCTTCAGACATGAGCCCAAGACCTTCTTTCTTTCCCGCCTCTGTGAGATCCTAGGCCACAACCCAACAGAGAGGAGGTCAGTCTGAAGGAGAGGACAGCCAGGAGACCAGGCAGTTGCCCACCTGAAACTATTAGTTCCCACGAGCAATATGGTCAGCCTACCACTATGACCGTACATTTGTCTGATTTTTTTCTTCTCATCAAGTTTTAAATTACATACTTTGAGGTTATGTTGTTAGGCTCATTCACCTTTAGAATCATTACCTTTCTAGTGACTTGACCCTTTTATCGTTATGAAACCATTTTCTTTCAGATCTTTGGAAGATCTCTTTCCATTGTCTTCTGGCTTTCATGTATCCTGTTGAGAAGTCAGTTGTCATTGTTATTTTTTTTGTTCCTTAGAAAGTAGTATGTCTTTTTGTTTATCTGCTTTAATTGTTTCCTCTCGTTTTAGGTTTGCATCAATTTGATTATGATGCAATTAGTGGCTTTCTCCTGCTTGAGTTCCATGGTACTTCATGACTCTCTGTTTTCATATCCATCATCAGTTCATTATCTCTTCAGATATAGCTGCTATTCCATTCTCTGTGTTATGTTTTTCTGGGACTACAAAGTCACCTTAATCCCACATGTCTAATTTCTGCTTCTAATTAGTTTACTAATTCCCTCTTCAGTGTATATAATCCAGGAGTCAGCAGGTTATGGCCACTTGTTTTTGTACATGGAGTATCATTGGAACACCGCCCCCCACCCACCCACCACCACCATTTGCTTACATACTGTCTGTGGTTCGTCGTGCATGCCACCAGCAGAGCTGAATAACTGCAACTGAGACAGTGTGGCCTGAACACGAATGTTCTCTCTCTAATTCTATAGGAACAGACTTGCTGAACCCCAGTTTAACCTACTGTTAAGCCTATCCATTGAGGTATGGATTTAAATTATTGTGCTTTTTATTTCTAGGATTACATATTATTTTTATTATCGTTGTGTTTGTTTGTTTGTTTCTAGTGAAATTCTCCAGCTTATCATTTAACTGCTTGAACATTTTAGCCATAGTATCTTAGTCTGGGTTCTCTAAACACCAGAGCCTGAGGGAAAAGCCACATGCTAATGTGTGTTTTATGACCCCAGAGTAGAATGAGGTGTTGCCCGCTTCTTCCCCGAAGTACACCGGATTTGCAGGGAGCGGCAGTGATATTTCTTAAGTTTCTATCAATTAATGCCCATATCTGGATGTCCTGAAATTTTATTCATAATGTCTACTTTTCCACCTTTTTTAGTGGTTGTTAAATTTTATCTTTTTTTTTAATACCTAGTTACTTTTAGGTTTTGCTGTATGTAGTAGATGAAAGGTTATAGATATAATTTGAGGCTGGATTAATTTTGTTTCTGGAAGACAGGTTGGTAGCCAATCCCCTCCATCCAAGGAGGAATTCAAATAATTTGAACCTGAGCTCCATTCCCAGTGAAAATTGGTCTATTTCCAGTTCACTCTTATTTCTAGGACAGAGCTTCCAGGGTCACAGCAGGGCACCTGACCGATGCGCCTCACCTTGGCAATCTTAGAGGGCCAGTGTTTGCTCCCCTGGCCACCTGAGTCTGATGATGACGGCTCTGCTCAGCTCCCTAGTGGCTCTGTCACCTCTTGCAAAGTGCAAAATGCCTTGAGCATAAAAGGTGGTGCCAGCTGTTACACTCACCCTTCTGAGCTTTCTTTGTGTCTGGGATCTCAGCCCTGCAGATCCTCACTAATACGGTAGTTCTCTGATGCCTTCAAATGCATTATTAAAAATATTTGTTGCAGCATTTGTGTTTATTCTCCCTGGGAGGATTCATGAGAAACAAGCCATTCTGCCATAGTCAGAAGCAAAATTTTTTAGAAGTGTCCTCTGTAACTGCTGTGCTGTCCCCGCCCCATAACCGTAACCCTGCCCTTCCCACCCTCCACACACATCTTGAGGCTGGAATCTTTATCCCATTTTATAACTTAATTCAGTATGCAGGCAAACTATTATTTTTTCAGCCAACCCTTATTTAGATTTACTAGTAAGTTTTACTGATTTATTTCTTCATTACTGCTCTTTTCACCTCATTACTTTCTTTCTGCATTTGTGTTAGCTCTTTTCCAGTATATTCTTTAGTAGCTTTTTCTTTTTTCCAGTGAGGGTCTCTGAGTGGTAAGGTTTCAGTCATTTCATGTCTGAAAATGTCTTTATTTTACCAATGACTGAGTGATCATGTAATCATAGTTTGGTTATAGATTTATGAATTGATTAGTGGTTAGTAATTTGGTTATAGAATTCTGGATAAAAAGTTATTGTCCCTCATCACTTTGAAGGTATGATTTTGTTTTCTTGCATCCAGTGTTGTCTTTAAGTCTGATGCTGATTCTCAATCCTTTGTAGGTAATCATTACATTCTTTCTGATAATTTTTAGGATTTTTCTTTATCCCGGTATTTCTTTTAAATGCCTGCTCAGAACTTGATGGCTGTTTTTAAATTGGGTACTCCTGTCTTAAAAATTGAGGAAATTCTCAGCAGTTATATGTTCAAATCTTGCGTCTTCATTATTTCGTCCTCTCTGTCTTGAAAACCAGATGATGCTGGCGTTTCTGGATCTTTCCTCCATGAACTTAACTTTTGTTTTCCTGCTCTTTTTACTTTTTCTGTGTTGCACTCTGGGACTGTCCGTCAGTTTACTCATATGTTCGATCACTAAGGAAGACAAAAAAATGTTACATAAACAAAAAGTCTGTGTTTTTGTGAACTCATTCACAGGGTGGAATTATTTAGAAAAATGACTTCAGGGAGATTGGTTGAAGATCTCCTGAGCCCCCACTTATGACAAACCTAACAGAAACGCTATCCCATTTTAAAATTCTTGGATTCCTCATGGACCGTAGTTGGTCATGATAGACACGTGGTTGTCTGCCTAGGTGAAGTGTAGCCACCTGGTGTTGAAAGGTGTGGAAGGCACCTGCTCACTGCCTGCTGAGATGTTAACACAGTGCTCTCTGTCCAGACCAGGTACACGGCAGCCAAGGACAGCATGGTCCAGTTCTTTTTCTACCAGCCCATCAGTCATCAGTGGAGAAAAACCGACTTCTTCCCTTGCACTGTGACGTGTGGAGGAGGTGAGGCCCAGGCTTTGTTCGATATTTAAAACTCAGCATTAGAAGGTACATGTTTGCACTTCTCAAGCCGACTTTTAAATGGGTATGGAGATGTGTGACCACACAGTGTCTCCTGCAGCAGACTGGACTGCAGGGGCATTTACAAATGTGTCTTTACTTTTATTCTGGAAGATAGGTGAAAAAAAGAAAAAAGACTGGATTTGCAAAACACCCTTTCCTTCTAGCCAAAAGCTGGAAACATGTTTGTGTGCATTCTTGCATTTCTCTTCTTGGTCGTCCTGAAAGCATGTATTATTTTTAATTATCTGTGGAAAGCTTGAGAAACAGAGAGACCCAGTGAGTTGCCCAGTCTGATCAAGTTAATGGGTGTGTTGGTTCTAAGCCTTAGATTTCTACCCTGTCTCTCCTCAGATGCGACAGTAAAAGCTTAGCAAAAAGAGGAAGGTCCTGCTCACTGTTTGCACAGTTCCAGGTATTCACAGATGGTTGAACAAGGGTAACCAAGGGCTCCACACACATGTGACCCATCTTTGCAGGCTCGGAGGGATGATAGTCGTCACCGAAAAATGGTGACTCCTTTGAGCAAATGAGGAGGTGACCATTCTGTCAAGATCATTCTCTTTTTCAGAACTGAACTTTTAAATAAAAGAGTAGTAAATGGCTCTAAACGAGGGCCAACCCAGGAACTAGTTACCAGAATTGCTAGAGGGTTGTAGGCTGATGCTCCCCCTAGGACTGTGAGTGCGTGCTGTGTGCTAGGGTGCTTACTCATTGTCACGTTTGCTCTTCCGGGCAAGCCTAGAGAAGGTCCGTTTTCATACCTGCTGCATGTGTGAGCAAACTGAAGCTTAGAAGGGGTGAGTAATGGACTCAAGGCTGCTCAGTGAGTCAACACACAGCTGGGGTCTGGCTCCAGGTCTGTGTGACGACAGAGCCACGCTCTAAGTGGCTTTGTCACTGTGGCCCCACTAGGAAGCTACAGGCGCATCAGGGAGGGGCTCTTCAGCCCAGGTCAGGCCACACCTCTCTCTCCTGGGATTGAAACTGTCAGTGACACCGGGAGGCAGGCGCTTCTGTGGGGCGCTCTGGGCAGCCCAGACCCCCAGAGGAACTTCTGGGAAGGAAGAGGAACTGTCGGAGGGTTGACTGGAATGATGAAAAAGAAGGTAAAAAGCAAATCTTCCCAGGTTCCCAGATAGCTCTTCTTAGGCCAGGCTTGGGTAATAGGCCACTTGATTGTGACCCTCCAGCAGTGGTTCTCAAAGTGGGGTCCCTGGACCAGCAGCCTCAGCATCTTGTGGGAACTTGTTAGAAACGCAGGTTCTCGGGCCCCTCCCGGGAGGCTCAGCGGCCTGTCCCTATAGACCAGTGGGTCTCAACCTTCCTAATGCCGCGACCCTTTAATACAGTTCCTCATGTTGTGGTGACCCCCAACCATAAAATTATTTTCGTTGCTACTCTATAACTGTAATTTTGCTACTGTTATGAATCGTAATGTAAATATCTGATATGCAGGATGTATTTATTTTCATTGTTACAAATTGAACATAATTAAAGCATCGTGATTAATCACAAAAACAATATGTAATTATATAATGTGAAATATTTATTTCTAATTACAAATAAATGAAATTTTGTCTTGAAGCATGGAGACGGATAGAGGAGCGGTGTCTCGGTTCCTATGACCATCGAAAATATGTGTTTTCCGATGGTCTTAGGTGACCCCTGTGAAAGGGTCGTTTGACCCCCAAAGGGGTCGCGATCCACAGGCTGAGAACCGCTGCTCTAGACCCTCCCATGGGTTGTGGCGCTCTCAGGTGTGAGAACCACTGCTGTTTGGACCAGGGACTTGAAATGCTGGCTGTACCGTGTTCCCTTCACTGTTTTTGCCATATCTATGTTATCCCTGCACTGTTACTGCTTTACGGTTTTTTCTTTAAGTGGACTAAAAAAAACTAGTAAACATATCTACACAAAGAATTTAATATTACCACCTTAAATGGGCACCTGTTACCTCTTTCTGTGAAGACACAATCACAAAAATAAGCACGATGGAAACGAAACAGTGGACCCCATCATCGTCAAGCCCCTGCCAGCTCCCACCGTCTCTCAGTGTAGCCTCAGCCTCCTCCTGAAAGTGGAAACGCGTTCTGTGGAACATTACAAGCGTTGTCCTGAGGCGAAAATGTCTTCAGATGTTGGAGTCACTGACTCAGCAGCAGACTTGAAGGGACATTCTTCAAAACATTTGACTTCTCTTAAAGCCGGCTGCGGGAAACAGTGTTTGGAATTGAAAGCGTGACCTGGGCATATCCCAGGAATCTCCCTAAACCCGGGCCTCACCCTTTGGCCGATCCTGCTCTCCAAACTTTGTGTGCCAGCGTTTACATTCCAAAGCAGTATGGCACCGAGAATGGCAGTAGGGCTGGAATTCGATGGCCTGGGTCCACTTCTTGGGTTTGCCACGAATTAGCTCAGAGACATCGTTAAGCCGTTTGTCTTCTCATCGGTCAAATACAGTAGACTGAGCCCGCCTACAGCATTGTTGGGGGACAAAATGAAATGACCCATGTCAGAGAGCACAGGACAATGCCTGGCATTTGGTGGGCACTCAGGGAATATCTGTTAGGTCAGAATCGAAACCTGAATATTGTCAGAAGGCCTGTGCATAGTCTCCGTATCCTTGGCTGTGGCCCTGCTGGCATTCTCTGGTGATGAGCTATGAGACCCACACGTGACTCAGTGGAAAGCTCCCAGAGTGAGTGGGACACACCTATACGCTTCTACATGTATATTTTATATCCAGAAGCAGAATCCCCCACACCACCACCACCACTTAGAATCAGGCAGGCCATGGCTCCAGGAAAGACAAGGCTTTCATGGACCCCCAAATAAAACCAAAGAGAGGGTGGGGCTTTAAAAAAAAACTCTTACTCAGCAGAAAAACAAACACCTCTTTCTTTGAAATCTATCCCCTCCCTCTCACACACAGTTCTTCAGAGAGACGCTTCCATTTGGACACATGAGCTAAACTAGAAGCTTCACACTCGGGGGTGGGGGAGACATGTATTATGGAATTCGGCTCAGTTCAGGTTGGTGAAATTCTTGGGAGGAGATTAGCTAGGTCTCATACTTGAGCGCCCAAGGAGACACGGTCAGCCACCACAAATGGAAGCACCTAACAATGAGCTCTTGCACCAAAGAGTGTAGTAGTTGTAAGAACATAATGGGAACTTTTGGCTGCTTTTGGGGGTCCCCCTATAGCCTGCCATTTTCTGCACACTGTCAGGCTTTCTGTACATTTGTTCATAATATATGAAGCCAGTGTGCCTCATTTCTTTCCCTTTTAGTTATCTCAGTACTGCCATAAAATTAAAGAGGAAAATTAATCGCCTCTCCTCAAATTATAAACACCTGGACGCCCCATGCTCCCTCCTCCTAGAAATATGTTTCCATTTAGAACAAAGATTTTTTCTTTGATTCAAGGAGCTATAATCTCATTCTGATTTTGTTTGGGGGCGGGGAGGAGGGAATAAAAACACACACATAAAACTCACAAGGAAAGCATTATGAAAATTTAATTATATCAGTAATCAAATCTGCATGATTTGTCCAAATGGCATTTTGGAGGCTTTTTTTTTTTTTCTTTTGGGTAATCAGGAAAATCAGCTCACTGGTGTCCAAGGCACTTGGATGGACTTGGCCGGTCTTGTCTGTAATCATCTGTGTGGGACACTTGAGATCGGTCTGGAGCAAGTACCAGGATTGCCGTTGCCATCTGATATGGTAGACTTTCTGGCAGATATTGGCACCTGACTGACATTTTATTGACTCCGTTTGGATTTTCGTTCTTGTGGTTTCGACCTTGCTTTTTATAATGCATACCAGTCTGCCCTTCTACGCTCAGCTTACATCCAAGCCATGAGTTGTAGAAAGCTGTCTAGTGGTTTATAAACTCAGATTCCTCTCGGCAATCAGGCCTTTGAGTGTATTTTTAGAACTTTAGACCAATTGGCTGAGGCTGAGAACTTTACTTTTTTTTTTTTGTCTTGAAGAGCTCATCCTGGTTTTGAAAAACGACCTTTTTCTTTCTTTCTTTCTCTCTCTCTCTCTCTTTTTTTTTAACTTAACATGACACTTATGTGTGGTGATAGGAAACTTGGAGTCAGATCTTTCAGGAAATAGAAGTGTCACTTTGTGAGTTGTTTTTTACGCTTAACAGCCCTCGTCCAGTTGGAATGCTCCCTTTCTGCAGAGGCGGTACAAATTGAACTTAATGGAGTCGGGAGTAAGTCTTCGTTCCTTGTCCTTTGAAGGCCTGGGAGGCAGAGGGAGATAGAGAGGGATGGATTTTGTTCCTCCTTGTGTAGACAATGCTCAATCCCCAGTCAGAGAAGTGACTTGGTATTGGATGTACCCAGAATAGCAAAAGAGTGAACTGTGGTATCTGCAAGTAACGGACAAACGTAACAGCCCAGCACAGGGTAGCTGTCTAAAATGTAATGTTGAGTGCGGCTGGGAGGCTCAGTTGGTTAGAGTGCATACTCTGAACAACAAGGTTGCCGGTTCAATTCCCACATGGGCCAGTGAGCTGTGCCCTCCACAACTAGATTGAAGACAACAACTTAGAGCTGATGGGTCCTGGAAAAAACACAGTTACCCAATAAAATTTTTTTAAAAAAATGTAATGTGGAGTAAGAAAAGCAGAAAACAGAACAAGATTTACAACACAGAATCAGTAAAAACAGATACACCCAGAACAACATTACCTAAGATAAAGGCGTGTTAAGGGCATATGAACAGTAAGTAGAGTCTCGGGAGGGTTGGAATGGGAGTGGGGATGGGGGAAGAACAGGAAATACAAGGAAACAAAGTGATAACCGTGAGATGTGACAGTGAAGTCAGGACAAAGAATAACTAACCTCCGGCATCTAGGTCCAAGCATTTTTTTAAAGGAGTCTATTATTAATATAACTTTTTAGTTACAAGTGCTGAGACGTCCATAATAAGTTCAAGTAGTCACTTGTGATCTTTTAGTCATATCTTAGAGGAATCTGAGAGTCTTTAAAAGAAAATGCTGATTCCTAGACCCAGACACCATGTTTCTGACTTGATAGAACCGTGAAGTGACCCGGACATTGGTGTGTATTAAGTGCTCCCAAATGGTTCTGTTATATAGCCAGGGTTGAGAGCCACTACATTTCTTCAAGAGGAAAAAAACAAAAAAAGGTGTGGTGAGTGGTAACTTCCCCAAGTAAAAACGCAACAGATGCAGTACTCACACCGTCCTCTTCTCCCATGTTAGGCTATCAGCTCAATTCGGCCGAATGCATGGATATCCGCTTGAAGAGGGTGGTTCCCGACCATTACTGCCATTACTACCCGGAAAACGTGAAGCCCAAACCCAAGCTGAAAGAGTGCAGCATGGACCCTTGCCCGTCCAGGTTTGCATCACTGCCCACTTTCTTTTTACTTTGAAAAGAGGCAAATCATTGGCAGCCGAGACCGCTGGCTCCTTACAGAGTGACCCCTTTCCATTACGTGATGTTGAAGGCGCACTGGTGGCAGGTGCCCGCGTTCACGTGGATAACCAAGGTCAGCAGTGGATGGCCCCCTCAGTCCAAGCTCTCTCTTGCTGTGGGCTGTGTCCCTGTGCTGTGACATTTAACTCTTTAGAATGAACCCCTTTGAGCATCCCCGGCGCCTGCACTAGGTAAAGATCTCTTCCTGCAAGTGCCATGCCGAGCCCACGTGCCAGTCGTGAATATCTTTAACTCACCGTTTTAGCTTTTACACTGGGTCACTCATTACCATGTTTGGACTTTTGAAGTGTTCCCATTCGAGTCAGGATAGACACGCATTATGCAGGGAAGTTAGACGTGTGCATGCCAAAGCAGAAAAGCTATGCGTAAACTCTCCTGTTGCATAATTTAGTACCTGCTGACTTGGATTGCCTGGGGGAAGGTTCCTGGCTTTGCTACAGTATCTTAAAATAACAGCATGGTATCCAGTCCCAGAATTCCCCAGACCTCTGCCAGCTGGCTACTGCAGAGGTGTGCAAGTGGAAAAGGAAGCATTCTCCGTGGATTTCATTTCCTATCACTAAACTGCCCATTTCCTGCAATCCCATCATTATTAAGAGAGAACGTTCCAAAGGACACATTCTGTGAAATACAATGATTTTCTGAAGATCCTACTTATAGGACCGTGTTGATATCATTAATGGTTATTTATCAGAATAACCTCTTTAGATGATAAAAAGGAATAAAGAGATGGATCTGAAGTAAGAGAAGGCTTTTCCTTTGGTGAACGCATGCACTTGTCCCCTTTCCTGTATTTTCATATTGAGCTGGGGACGGTGTATGTCAGACATGATTCTGGAAATTAAGCGGGTGGTGGCTGAATTGGGAGGGACTGCTTCATAGCACTTTGCATATTTAGTTTCCCATTGGAAAGAGATCTGTCTTTTGGGATGTCAAGTCTATATTAGTCAAATTAATAAATGTGTTAGTTGATGTAGAAATGATACTGACACAATGGTTTCATTTGTAGTGATGGATTTAAAGAGATCATGCCCTATGACCACTTCCAACCTCTCCCTCGGTGAGTGATGTCTTTATGTATTGTAATTTACTCCCAGTTATTTGCAAAGAACCATAGTAACTGTAGCAACAGTCTGAAATGGAAGAGGGATAGGTCGTAGACCCCGATACGGTGAGCGAAGGGCAAACAGACTTCAACTCAGTAATAAGAAAGACCTTTCTGAGCATTAAATGGAATAGGCTGCCTTGGACGGCAACATTTGCCATCACTGGAGACGTCTAGCCTCTCTTGGATGACTGGGTGCTATGGAAGAAGCTCAGGCATTACAAGTGATCAGAAACTTGAGTCCCCTTTTCCATCTAGCTGACTAGTATGGTGTTTCTGACTTTGAGTTTCTTGACTCTAATGGTGCCCTTTAGTGTTTTATCGTTTAGAGAGAGTTTAAAGATGCTTTCACACTCCGTATTTTAATTAATTTGATTCTCGCAAAGGCCCTGTGGAAGGTAACTAGGGCAGGTGTATTATTCCCACTTGACAGTAACCTCGGGGTCAGAGTACCTGTGACTGTAGCTTGTATAATACATAGCCATTAAGATTAAAGCCTTCATTCTCCGTGCCCTGAGGTCCTTCAGCGGAACCATAGCCATTATCGGTTCTTTTTTTTTTTTGCAACCATCTTTGCAAACTTGACACTAACGCGCAAGCCACCCATAAATAATGTGTTTCTATTTGTTTGCTTTTGAGCTGGGAACATAATCCTTGGACGGCGTGTTCGGTGTCCTGTGGAGGTGGGATTCAGAGGCGGAGCTTCGTGTGTGTTGAGGAATCCATGCATGGGGAAATCCTGCAGGTGGAAGAGTGGAAGTGCATGTACGCGCCCAAACCCAAGGTCATGCAGGCCTGCAACCTCTTTGATTGCCCCAAGTGGATCGCCATGGACTGGTCTCAGGTGAGATCTGACAACGGGCAACGGGCCACAGTTCTTTACAGCTCAGTCTGTGGTGAATGTTTGCTGTGTGTTAGTGGGGTTTTTTGTTGTTGTTGTTCCTCTACCTCCAAAGAGAAGTTTGGAAAATGACCTATCTCTTTACATGTATTTAGGTTGACATCTACAAATTTTTTTAATCACACATTTAAATAAAAGCCATCAAAGAAAAAGGTCATTTCTAACATGGTGTGAAGGCTGACATTTCAAAATAATGTGTGACATAGCATTTTAAAAAATGTGTCCAGTAGAACGTAAATGCCATGATGATTTCTACTCTTGACATCTTTCATTTAAAAAGTACGCAAACAATCTCTTCTTAAAGAATTTGGATATTTTGCATTGTTTTCCCCCCTTGAACTCACATTTTCAATCCAGTCTCTTCCCAGAAATTTATCCTGATATAATGTACTTTCATGCTTTAAACTCTTAGTAATTACACTATTCTACTTTTCTCCAAGAAAATGTGTAGCAGTGAAAATTAATTTATTTTAATATCCTGTGGCTGTAAGGCTCTAAGGATTAAAAATGTTCCCCTGGGTTATTATTTTATTTACTTTTAGTACACAGAACACCATAAATATAACTCTGGTAAATCATTATTGTACATAGAAAAGAAAGTAAGTTTTCATCTGAAATGAGTCTTTTTAGATCATGAGTGGGGCTTAAAAAAGTAGTCCATTGCCAAAATAAGACATAGGTTCAGCCGTAATTTTATTCCTAATTTTACTGTCGATTTCTTGTTCTGTTTTGTTTTGCATGTACACATTAGGAACGCTTGTTCACATAAACAAATAAACTGAGGTGGAAGGATTTTATTAGAGTGAGGTCATTCTGTTCTTTGAACTCCTGAGTTATATGCCAAAAATCACACATGATCTATCATCAGAAATCAACATTACTTCTATAGCCTGCAGAGCTTGTTTTCAGCTCTTACAAGTCTTGTCCTTACGCTGCGTGTTGGCTTTAGAGCTGTTATCATACCACCCCCCCCACACACACCCCCATCAGTAGCATGGCTGTGTCATCACTTACAATATCGAAACAGAGGATTGCTAACCGACGCATCTTGTTCACCTTCCTTGGCTCTTCACACTTTTCATCTTTTTCAAAAATCAAATACATTCTCAGTAATGAGATTTGCTGTTGCTAAGGATATATTCAGCTCCAAAGAGGAGTTCTGGACATGTAAACATGGACTGCATCTTCAGGGCAAGTGTGCAGCTTCCTGGAGGGGCTGAATAGAAGGAGACCATCGTCTTTTGGGTTGGCCGGTTCTAGTAGAGTTCCACCTTATAACTAGGTTGTTTTCTTTCTCTTTGGGAAGAATTTTTTTTCTTCCTGGGCCAATAGAAATCCCCCTCTCATGATCATATATGTTTCAAATTGATACATTTTGGGTAAGTGAGTCAGTTTCACAGAAATAGGGTCTCATCTCAAACGTCACTCAATTTTTTTGCAGTATTTGCACAGTAGTCATAAGAGTGGACTGACGAATTAAGAGAGGATTCCTGGCATTCCACTCTTCCTAGAGATGTGTGTATATGTTGAAAAAGGCCTCCACATCCTCTGAAACTTGCCTGTGATAATGTAGGCAGCATCGTGGACTCAGGAAAGAACCTTTGAGCTTTATGAAACAGGAGCCAAGTCGTGGTTTTGGCAACAGGAGGCTCTGGGAGGGAATTCTACTCTGTCTGTTAGGAAGGGTGTGACCTTGAGCAAGGTCCTCAGGTGGGGGGCTGTCTGCTCATCTGTTAAATGGAAAGGAAGCTACTGACCTACCAGAGTGTGGGGAGGATCAGTGAGGCCACATCTGCAGGACCGTGGCTGTTCTGTCACAGATGCCCAGGGGCTCTCAGACCCCCTCAGCGTGAATCCAGGATTGGTGGTTCTACAGTTTGGAGATGACTCTTCAAGAAAAAAAGAATGCAAAACACAAATATTGGGTATCTAAGTGGATGTGTATTTAGACTCAGAAAAAAGAATTACAAATTTCTCAAGGCTAACGACAACCCTAAAGGGAACTCTGGACTTTAGTTCATAATACTGAAATACTGTATTAGTATTGGTTCATCATTGGTACAGCTGTACCACACCAATGCAAGATGTGAATAATAGAGGAGCTTATGTGGGGTGAGAGGGTGTATGGAAACTCTGTCCTATCTGCCCAGTTTTTCTGTAAACCCAAAATGGTCCTAAAAAATTAAGTCTATTCATTAAAAAAGAAAAGCATACATACACACCTGTATATTCACTAACATATGTAGATAAATTGAAAAGAAATGCTAGATTTTCACAACATGAAAATACTCCATAAGCAAGAGTAACTTCCAAATGAACAGTAAATAATTCAAGAAAAAAAAAACCTCACAGCACAAACTTCATAAAAATTCAGAAAAGAAAATAACATAATGTTTTTCCTAATTTTAACTGCATGATCACATCTGTAATATTTTTTTTTCCTAAACTTTTTGGCTGAATATTCTTTGATGGCTTCTTCCTATGACAATAGTTTTGCAAGGTGGGTTTCTATGGACAGAAGAGAAAGATAATCCTCTAGCATGGTTGATCAAAATTTGATCTTTTTGGGGCCCACTGAGTGGCGTGTTGGTTAAGAGCTGGCTTGGGACGCCAGCTCTGAGCGGCAGGGCCCCGGTTTGGATCCCACATGAGGGCCAGTGACACTGCCCTCTACAGCTAAGATGGTGAACAACAGCTCGACCTGGAGCTGGGCTGCCATGAGTCGCTGGCAACGGCGTAGGCTGCAGCCCCTGCTGCAGTGGGCTGCCGTAAGCTACCGTGTGTGGCTGGCAGCCAGCGTGAGCGGCCGGCAGCCGGTGTGAGCTGCCAAGAGCCTCTGTGAACCGCTGTCCAGAGGCTGGCAACCGATCTGCCTCATCCAGGAAGAGCGCAATGATAATACCAACATGGGCCAGTGAAGCAACGTCCTCCACAACTAGACTGAAGAACAAAAGGACAGCAACTTGTCTGTTCCCCTTCCCCCAATTCCCCAGCGCTGTTCTCCTCCCCCAATTCCCCAATAAAAAAAAAAATCTAAAAAAAATTTGATCTTTTTTTTAATTGATAGTTTAGGAATGTTTTCTTTCATCTTTGCGAACTGTTTTGAATAATATCCTGTAAGTTCTTAAAGTTAATCAAAGTCGATCAAAACTAAAGTTAAGAAAACCTCTGTAAAGTTTCTTTCGTATTTGAGCAGAAAGATTTCAGGGCATTTCCATTTTTTTTGCACTGTGATCTCGTCTAATGGTCTTCTGTGTTGAATATTCCTATGGATCAGGGGCTCCACCCTTGCGTGAGACGCTAATGCCTTCCTGGATCGCCTCATGACCAAGAATGTCACTGGCTTCTCTTTCCCCCTTTAAAGTGTACCGTGACGTGTGGCCGAGGGCTGCGTTACCGCGTGGTGCTGTGTATCAACCATCGTGGGCAGCACGTTGGCGGCTGCAATCCTCAACTGAAGCTACACATCAAAGAAGAGTGTATCATTCCCACTCCGTGTTATAAACCCAAAGGTAAGTGGGCGGTGCGTTTTCAAGTTACATCAAATGGTGTTTTCCAGCTCCCGTTCTAAAATTGCACCATTTACATTTACTGACTTTCTTATAAAAATCGTGTCACTGACAGATTCCAATAGACCTGTCCACCTAGATACAATATTTGGACCTCTGGGGCTAATGGATCTGGAGGGAAAACGGAGCTCTTGTTGATTCAGTCCATATAGTGTGGTTCCTATTTGTCTACGCTTATAGTCACAGTTGCTGGTGGACATAAAATAATTTGATGCAGTCTCTGCCTTGAAGAAAAAGGAGAAAAAGGAGGTGGGGAAAGAGAAAGAGGAGCGAGAAAACGCTCCCGAAGTTTGCATTCTTCTCTGTTGCCTAGTGTTTTATACCTGCCTCCGACTGGAGTGTAAATTTCTTGAGAGAGGAACAGGATGGCGTCGTCCTCATGTGCCCCATTGCCTACTGTGGCATGAATGAACACTTTCCGTTCCCAGTCTAGATCCATGGATGTGTTTAGAGTTTCTTTTGTAGTTCCCAATGGTTCCACACGAATTAGCCGAAATGAGCAGCATCCATGGGTAGGAAGTCTCTCGGATTTATTTCCTCTGTGTACATGATTACATATTCCCATACATATTAGTAAGGTATTGCCAACCCTTATGACAAGTAGTTCCTTTCTGGAAATGGAGAAGGGATTATTCCCCCCTGTTAGTGCCAAGGAGTCTTCATTAGTACATTTAAAGAGGATGGTAAAATTCTCCTTCATTACTTCTGTATCCATCATTCATGCAAATCACCTCATAATGAACCAGCCAAAAAGTACTTATCTGGCCATGTCTATCTTCCAGAAACGTCCCTGGCTGCCCTGCAAGGTACAAAGACTGATTCTGTACCTTCGTCAGTGAAGTCTTTTGTCCTTCTGCACACGATGGTCCTTCCATAGCCATCTTGTTAGTGTCTGTGACGTCCCTGAAGCAGCCCCTGATTTTTTTCCCCTCCCTACCTAATTAAATTGTGTCTTCCTTCATGTCTCAGGAAGCTTCAGAGGACAGAAAGGGGCACTGTACAGAAAGGCTGGCACCTACATGTCAGCTGTAATTGGCAACCACCTCCCCAACAACGACAACAATAAAAGTTTGAGTAAACCATGGCACAGACTCTCTGCCCCTAATATTCTAAACCTCGATGTTACTGGCTTTTCTTTGTTAAATTCTTCATTTGGTGGGCAAAAAGAATTGGTGGCAGAAGAAAGCACATGGATATAGTCTAAGTAAGAGCTTTAAGGTGCCAACAACAGATTGGTACTGATTTCTAAAAGGCATTGTTATGTTAAGTGGAAGAATATATTTAGCGGTGCCATGGGACCAATGGGTTTCCTTTGGATAGCCTGTTAATTCAGAAAACATATGACAGGAATGTTCGACTCAATCCAGAAGCCACCAAATGTACCATGCCAGAGGTATGACCGGTCCTCGAGAAGCATGACCTCTTTATTTATGAAATCTTCAACAAATAATCATCTTTCCAGCTCCTTAGTGATTACCAGTAATTAAGCTTGTTGTTTCTGTTCCTTTTTTCCTTAGAAAAAAGCCCAGTGGAAGCTAAATTACCTTGGTTGAAGCAAGCACAAGAGCTAGAAGAGACCAGAATAGCAACAGAAGAACCGACGTGAGTCCAGGCCCTTGTATGGGAGTAATCGGGGCATAGCCAGTTAACATGATAGATGTAAGTTTTGTACTCATTGGAGTGCAGTGATACAGTTCAAATCCAAATGACCTGGATTTGCCGACTCCAGAGAGCCTGAGCTGGCTAGCATTCTTCTTTATTTCACAATTCAGCAGTCCTGCTTTGGCAGCATCTGTGAGAAGCTCACAAAGAAACAGTGCTGTTTATCCCAAAGCAGACCCAGGGGTCTCTTACAGTGAAGAGATTGGGGATAATTCCTACATCTAGATTAGCATGCATGATTCGACCCAGGGCCGTCACAGTATGACACAAATAAACCAGTCTTTCCTGCGGTGAAGTCATGGCCCGTCACTATAAAACCACCTACATTGAAATGTATCAGGGTGGCCTGAGTGATTATAAGGAGAAATTGCAGAGCTGCTGTGGCGTGGGGCAATGGAAAAAAACGTGGTGCTGCGAACCTTAGAGCCTGGAGCCACCGCTTTTCATGACGTGACCTTAGACAAATCTTTAGCTTTTCTGTGTCTCATTCTTCTTACCTGGGAAAGGAGCAGGTCGGGCGTCATCTCTGCAGGGTCCATTCCAACTCAGATGTCCAGTAACTTCCGTCCGCCTGGGCTTGGGTAAGTCTGGATTGAAATCATATCGGTGGATATTAAGACTCAAGAGCAGACCCAAGAAACATCCTGGAGGCAGAGTTTAGGGGCCTAAGGAGAGCAGGGAATCAAAGGGGCTCTGAGGTTCCAGTCCAGGAGTCTGGAAGAACAGCGGCTCCAATGATGGACTCAAGTGATTGGACAGAGTTGCGTGTCAGACATGTGAAGTCTGGTGCAGACAGGCTATGGAGCAGGAGAGCCATTCACAGGGTGTTAGAGGAAGGGGAATCTCAGAGGTAATGCAGTCCCTCCCCCCTCAGAGCAGAAATCTCTTTCTTAACACCTTCAGTTCAGCAGCGGGCAGAGTTCACTCACGCAAGACGGCTCACTCTTGTGTTGACCAGCCCAAGTTATTTGCAAGATTCTCCTCCTATTGAGCCAATTGAAAACTTCCTTCAGATTTCTGCTTTCTGAAACAGAAAAAGACACAACTGAGCCCCAACCATGTGACAAGTTTTCACCGATTTGGACAAAGCTGGATCCCAAGAGCGCTGGTCTTTCCCAAGGTCATGATTCTGAGCCTTTCTACATTTTTTTTCATGTGACGGTGTTTTTAGATCCCTCCCCAAGCCCACTGCTCTTTTCCGAGCACACTGTCATTTGTCATTGTCCCCTTTAGCTGTGGTCCAGCCCAGCAGCGAGCCCCAGGGGAACACGGACCACTTCTCTTTGAGAACAGCGTGCTGAGGGCACTGACAGTCACACTTAGGACATGAACTTTTCTACGTGGACTCTTGTCAGGCCTGAATACGAACCTAGAAGAAACTGTGGACGCTGTGAGGTGAATGACCCCAGAGTCACTCATCGAAGAGAGAAGAGTATTGGGCTCACGATGGAAGGTTGGAGACTTAGAGGAAGAGAAATAGAAGTCATGAACAGAGGAAATGGCCCCAAGGAAAGGTTTCTGTTAAAAAGACCAAGGGACTCGAAGGTTTAAGGAGGGGTACAGCAAATGTTAGTCAGGTCTCACGGAAAGCGGAGAAAAGCTGTGAGGACTGAGAAAGGGATGTTTTGTTTGACAAGAGAGACTTTCCAGTTAATTTTGGAGTGGTATCATTCAAAGGGTGGGGAGGTCAACATCAAGAGACTTAAGAAATAAGGTCCAAATTAGAAGGAAATGGGGTAATGGGTATTTGACTACAAAGAAGGCGTGAAGATGGGGTAGTCAAGCTGATAGAAAAGAGTGCTTGTATGTGTGTGTGTGACTGTTGTCGTTGGTTTCTGTTCGACGCTAGGACTGTCTTAAACGTGCTAAAAAGATAATAAGGATTTTAGACAAGTCAGCTAACGTCTCCAGACCTCCCAACTGTACAAACAGGGTGTTAGGCTAAGTGCTGCTGGAACCTTCTCCCGGCTCTGACCTCCGATGGTTCTGTGGGGGAAGGAAGCTGTGGAAAGAAAGAGATCGAGACCCCTGAAAGGGAATGTGTAGTTGTCACATAAGGAAAGGCATAGAGTTCTCAGTCTAGAAAGATGCCTCCTACCAACATCTTTTGTTCTCAGAACACAATTGGATAACAATGGTTAATCCCCCCCTGTATGTCCTTTTGTGGCTAATGGAATTGGCGTCCAGTTCCCCAAACTAGAATCCTGGAGCCACCCTTGCCTCTTTCTCCTTCTTCCCTTATGTGTGATTAACTACTGAGTTGTGCCAATTGCAGCCGCTAAAATCTTTCTCAAGTCCAACTTCTTCTTGTTGGGAACCGCCCGCCCCCCCTTAGGTCTTTTTAAAAAGCATTTTTCTTAATTAAAGAAAATTTCAGACTGATGTAAAAGAGGAGAGAACGGTGCATTGAGCCCCACATGTCCATCATCCAACTGTAGTGATTGTCAACGCAGGGCCTCTCTCATTTCCTTTGTCACAGCCACTGCCCGCCCNGCCCCATGGGACCATTTGTGAAGCAAACCCACACAGCACATCACTTCATTCATAGCTGTCTCAGCATGTATCTCTAAAAAAGGACTCTTTTTTATTTTCTTGGATAACCACAATACCATCTTTTAAAGTGTGTTCCTCAAATCACCTCCTTTAGAATCACCTGCGGTGCTATTTTAAATGCATATCTCTGGTCCCCACCAAGTCAGATGCTCAGGGTGGGGGTGGGGGTGGGTGGTGAGAACCAGTCACCAGCTTTTGTTTTTTTTTTTCTTTTGGCTCTGCCAGGTTTTTTGTATTGTGGTAAAATATACATAACATACAAGTGACCATTATAATCATTTTTAAGTGTGCAGTTCAGTGTCATTAAGTACGCTGACATTGTTATACGACCATCACCACCATCATCTCCAGAACTTCCTCACCTTCCCAAACTAAAACTCATCCCCATTAAACACAAATTTCCCGTTTCCTCCCCAGCCTCCCCAGCCCCTCCCTGTCCCTGAATTTGTCACCAGCATTTTAGCAAGTGCCCTGGGCGACTTTGGAGGGGATGCACCCAAATTTGGGAACCACTAGGTCAGAGAGTACCCCAGGGTCCTTTTCAAGGTCTGGAAATGCTGTTCATTTTATGACTTGGGAAAGAGCGATTCCACGTAAACTCAGCGGATGCAGGCCCCCCTGTTCGTTCCAAGCCTGCATTTTCTGTCAGCCCCACCTGACCTGGCCGGTGGCTCCTTCCTCTGTTTATTCACTGAGTGAAGCTAATAAGCCGTTTCCTCCTGCAGGACCCCGCTCCTTTGTCCCCAGCTTGAAAGACAGAGCCCAGAGCACCTGTTCCCTGGCCGGAGCGGCTGCCTCCCTTCCACCTTCAGCCCGCTCTCCCTCTGTGGTTTCTCGGCAGTGTTCCTTTATAATTCACACTGCTGGCAGTTTCTGGCCTGTTCCTGGTTGTCTTGTGTGAAGTTTATAGTTTCCTCCCACCCCTTCTGACTACTCATTCCCTCGAGAGCTCAGCTTCCAGCCCATCCTTTTATTACCGCTGTCTTTTGTGGTTTGGGGATGCTTGCTTGTTGGCAATAAAGGAAAAGAGGAGCGTAGCTGTATTTCAAATCCCCCGAGGAAAGCCTGCCAAACCCGCCCGGAGAAGATAAATATTTCTGCTTCTGTGGTTTATCGTGGCCCGGGCTCTGAATTGACATAGGGAGCGGATGTTCAAAAGGCTTTTTTTTTTTTCTTTTTAATTAGGAAAATAAAAATGATCGCTTATACAGCTAAGCCAAGGGAACTGCAGCTTGGGCCTTCTTCGCTTTCACCTCTGGAATGTGTCGGCAGTTGATAGGACGGTTCCCTCGTTGTTCTAAAAGTTCTTCCCTGGAGCCTTGGTCGTTTCCATGGGTTTCTCAGCGTTTCCGCAGCCGTTGCCGCCCCCTCTCCCACCTTCCGTGTGGGAAAGCCAAGGAAACAGGACAGCTCGAGAACATTTGTGGAAACCGTACTTGGCTAAAATCAAATCGGGTTACAGTTCATGCTGAGGACTCCTTTTGTGCCAGACCATGCCCTGAGTGTTGTGCGTGGGCTGACTGATGTAATTCTCACAAGGACACCCACGAGAAGGCATTATTATCCTCGTATTCGGGAGGAGGAAAGATTAAGAAAGTGCCCAATATCTCAGAGCTATTCAGTGGCAGATGGTGATGCTCTGTCATGTGACAGTAGGAAGAGAGCTCCAGTTTCACGTCAGGTGACCTGAATGTTCAAGTCTTACCTGTCCTGAGGTTGGTCTGATGGGGTGGACAGAGAAGGTAGTGGTTACATTATAGAATTGTGAGGTTTGGGGATCAGGGACAACTTCTAGGGAGAGAGGGGCCATGGCCTCAGGTCCTAAGATGCACCTGGTGTCAGAAGACCCATGTGGACCACAGGCAGGGCAGCTGGCCCGTGTGGGCACACCTGGGTGCTGAGGTACGGAGTGTGGAGAGGGGGCTACAGTGGCCGCAGCTGGAAGCATTGGCAAATCTTGGAGGCAAATCTCAAATTGTACATCTCACATTTATGTTTTTTAAATCATAGACATCATCAGTGATGCCGTTTTTGTAGACTTTATAATTTCTAAAATGAATAAATCGACACAGCTTTCTTTAGTACCAACTTACATCCTGAAAGCTCCTGACTTTTGTTGTTAAACTCTGGGACTGGGAGCCAAGGTAACTGACATTTCTTTGTTAAGCTCATAGATAGCAGGAGTGTTTCGTTTTGCTGATTGGGATGTGCTATTGTAGATGACTGTGACGGCATCTTGTCTGGGGAAAGGAGGCTGGATGACTCTGAGAGACCTGTTACAACCCTGTCTTTCGAGATTTAAAACATTAAGCCTCATCCTGCATCTTAAGCAAACATCCCAGCGGCATTTTCTGAATTTACTTATTATAGTACAACGTTATCTCTTGAATTTGAGGTCTGTAGCGGCTTAAATATATGAAATGATGCATGCCACTGTCCCCTCGTAAGCATTTATAGCATGCATTCATATACCATAGTCTTGGGGAAAGTTTTGCAGCAAATAAACCTGTTGGACATTATTGAGCCCAAACTTTTCCCAAACTTACTCTGTCACTGAACCTTCGTGCCTGTCAGCTGTTGCCATCTCACAATGTAGGTATTGCTTTGGAGTTCCTTAAGCGTACATACCCCTCCTGGCTCTGTTTTTTAAATTCAGTGCAGGAATCAGTAAACATGTTCTGGAAAGGGCCGTAGAGTAAATATTTTACTCAGCTCGGCCGTGTAGTGAGAAACAGGCATGACAGTAAATGAACAAACGACGGAGGCTCTGTTCCAGTGAATCTTTAATTATGGACACGTTAGTGGAATTTTACATAATTTTCACATGATACAGAATATTATCCTTTTTCTTTTCTCCATCCATTTACGAACAGAAAAATCATTCTTAGCTGGCAGGCTATGCAGAAACGGGTGGGGGTGGGGTGGGGTGGCAGATTGGACCTGTAGGCCATAGGGTGACAGCCTCTGTTTAGTGGGTAGTAAGTCAGGGTAAGAAATAAAAATGCTGTATTTGGCCAGACTGTGCGGTGTCTTTAATATTTTCAAGAAGATTCAGACGTTTAGTGTATTTATGTACTAAGTGGGAATGTTAAAGCGTCATCTGCTCAGCAGAAAGCATTTGTCATCCTGTCATTTAGCTCCTAGATATTGAGACAGGCGAATGAAACTCAGCCTGCTAATAGAGGACAAGCTCGATAAAGATTTGTTGAGTAAATATTGGTGGAAAATCCCTGCATTACCAAAGAAATCAGATTAGAAGTTATCTCTACGGGATGGTTTATTTATCACCACATCTTCAAGGATACCTTTTAATGATGTCATGCAAAGGTCAGAGCGCAGGATTTGAGTTACAAAATGGACGCAAACATTTAGTTTGTGAAAAATTCTCTCCGTGGCTAATACGATTTGAAAATTTAAGTACATAATTGAGCACCAACGAATGATTAGCATTTCCAATGCCTGTATTCCCTCCAAATGAAGCCATTTTTTCCCCTTCGCAGAAGGCGTGTCCCTCCTCATTCGGCGGCCTGTCTGTAATGGTTGCCTCCCTGGTTTTCCCCAGGTTCATTCCGGAGCCCTGGTCAGCCTGCAGTGCCACGTGTGGGCCCGGCATTCAGGTCCGAGAGGTCAAGTGCCGTGTGCTCCTCACCTTCACTCAGACAGAGACGGAGCTGCCCGAGGAGGAGTGTGAAGGCCCCGCGCTGCCCACCGAGCGGCCTTGCGTCCTCCAGGCCTGTGCCGAGAGCCCCGCCTCCCTGGAGCTGGAGGCCCCCCTGTACGAGAAGGACAATGAGATGACCTACGACTGGGAGTACGCGGGGTTCACCCCCTGCACGGCGACGTGTTTGGGAGGTACTGGATCCTCTGCTTAAGGGATACTTACATTTGTGTTGCTTGTCGTGTGAGATGTGACTAGATTGGTTAAGCTAAATATGCAAGTTAGCAAAAGCCTAAAGGAGGTTAACCCGTTCAAATTAACTGAAAGCTATGCCTTTTTAAAATTTATTTTTATCATGATTATTTTAGAAACATAAAGGATAGTGGGATGATATCCTGACCAACAAAATGTTATGTTCTTTGGCCTGAGCGGCTGTATAATGGAGACAAGGAGTGAGGTCACCCATTAATATGGAATAAATAGGGAAATGCAGAACTGGTAGATCGAGGCAACCTGGTGCACGAGCCAGCGGTAGATTGAGGCGGCCTGGGGTTGCCGTGTTGGATGCGACTCTCAGCCAGAAGTCACCTGCAGATGACATTTAGGTTCGTACCTGCTTTGAGATGCTGCCATTGGTAGAAGCACTGTTTCATCTAGTGCTGTCACCCTTGATTTCAGCTCTTTTCTTACCTGGGAAGGCTCCCTCCAGTCAGGAAAGGGTGGCATGGTGGGTCCTGGGATCTCAGCAGACCACTTGGAGTTGCCCGAGGAAAATGGCCAGTGAATCCTGACTCAGGGGGGTGAGTCAGTTAGAGCTCATCTTTGGAGTCCGATGGCAGAATATCAGATGCCTCATGTTCTCAGCAGCCACTACAGGGGCCCCAGACCCCACTCCAGGATGGCTGACTCCTCTGGGATGACTTTTTTTTTTTTGTAAGAGCTTTATTAACATATTTCACATACCGTCCAATTTATGTATTTAAACTATACAATTTAGTGGTTTTTTTAGTACATTCACAAAGTTGTGCCACCACCATCACGACCAATTCTAGAATACTTCGCCCCAAAAGAGCCCTGTACCTTTCAGCAGTCCCTCCGCATTTTCCCTCAAACCCCTGTTTTCCCGGCCAGTGTCGGCCTCTGGCAACTGATCATCTACTTCCTGTCTATCCTGGATATCGCATATAAATAGACTCACACACTGTGTATTTGGTCCTTGGTGACTAGCTTGTTTTTCTTAGTGTAATGCTTTCATGGTTCATCCATGCGGTACCAGGAATTAGGACCTCATTTCTTTTCATGATGGAATACTGTTTTGTTGTACGGACATACTGAATTTCATTTATCCACTCCATCAGGTAGAAATCTGAATTATCCTTGGGCATTGTGAGTTGTCCTGCTCTGAACGTTCACGTACACATTTTTGCAGGGAGGACGTTTTCATGTCTCTGCAGCATAGATCTAAGAGTCATAGGACGGCCCTTGAGTTCATGTAACATGTACGAGTTTTGTGAAACTTGACTGGGTTTGTCCTTGTTGGCACTTTGGACGAGAAGCGCCTAGAAGCCTAAATGCAGCTCAGCATCCAGATGGTTGGTGTGAAGGTGCCTGTTTGCTTTCTAACACCCTTGGGCGTGTCTGGAACGCACTTTACAAACTTGAATGGAGCTCAGCTAGGGCATCCTTCAGCATTGGTTCAAGAGCCGTTTAGCCATGGGAGGGTGTGTTGCATTGCATAGTCCTTGAGTAGTATCATTAAAATGAACCTTGAATACCCTCTAACCCAAATTTTGCCGTGGGGAAACGGAGGCTCAAAGGCTATTAATGTAGTCCAAAATAGAAAACAAACAATGCAGTTGTCATCCCTTAGACTTGGCTGAATTGTAAGTGCATATAATAAGCCTCCTAACTTTGAAAAAAGTCATGTTTTTAATTTCTCAGGTTCAAGCTTAAAAGTTTCCTTTTAAATAGGTACCTACAGTCTACAAAACTGAAGAGCTTAGGCAGGAAACTCAAGTCCTCTGTAAATACAGAGAACTGGGCACCTGCTCTGTGCTGGACTCCAGGGTTCCGCTCTGGGCCCTGGGCTCAGCCTCAGAACATAAAATGAATAAGACACAGTGCCCGTGGTGAAGGGGCTTTTGTCATGTTGGTTTTACCATCTGGACCGCACCACTTACAGGCCGTGGTTCCTGCCTCACTGTGGTCCATTCTACTGTGGTTTTGGAAGTCGGCCGCTGCCCGTCCACTTAGTGGTCATGAATGTGGGCTTTTAACCCTCACCCTGGGCAGCGGAGAGGGTGAGTCTGCAAAGACTGGAAACTATAGGAGAGTCACACTTCCATAGGCACACAGTTCATTTCTTCAGCGCTCCTGTTGCTGGTAGAAAAATAATATATGCAAATTACAGATTTCCAAAACGATGAACTTTTGGTCACATCCTGATACCATGTACTTGTATGTTCTAACTCATCTTCACGCCATACAGGAAATACAAAAAAAATCCCTCTGTTGTAATTACTGACGCTTAAGAACCTTTCATAAGTCGGCTTTCATACCAGAGTGGCAACTGAGAATTCTTTCCTAATTCCTAAAAGCATGAAGAATTTAGACATACTCAGTTTCCAGCTTCCAGAGTGTATGTATGCATGCGTATGCATCCAAGTGGCATTGTGTGTGTGTGTGTGTGTATGTATACACACACACACACACACACACATCCTAGAAGATAGACTTATCTTTTTAATACCCTCTGGTAAGGCTTTGCAGTGTAGTACATCGTAAACATTTCTTACCAGAGTTTTTCTTTGTATTCCATATTTTCTGTTGCATGTATGACCCTTCATTTTCACCTTTCTATCTCCTCACAGCACAGGCTAGTCGTATATGCCTGGGCTTGGAGGCCTGACCCTGTTTTGATCCCTAGCTCTGCCACTCTCCTTGGGCTGGTTATTTAAGCTTTGTAGAGCTTTGTTTTTGTAAAATGAAAAGAACGATACTTACCTGCCTCATTAGAATTATTAAAAGGATGAAATGTGCTTATTAAACCAGGTGATGTTGAGAAGTGTTTAACCACAGTGCCTGACCCATGGTGTGTAATAAATGTTGGTGGGATGACTACTTTATAATGTAATAATAACAGGGTATTCCTCTTATATTAGAATGCTATTTTTTCCCTTTAAAAAAATTTAACAAAATCACTGAACCCCTGCATGCATCTGTTTTCCAGTTTATTCTAATGAGTTCTCTAAGTAAATAATCATCTACAATTAGTAGTTTTGTCTTTCCCTTTCCAATAGCTATTTATCTTATTTAATTTTTTTATCTTAGTGCATTGTCTAGAATTTCAAAAACAATAGTAAATAATGTGGATAATGCCAGCCTTGCCTTGTTCCTGACAGTTGCAGAAATCTATCTTTTCATTCAGAATCAACATTTGCATGTTTATTGCATGTTTCTTTGTGCCAGGCCCTGGGCTAGGTGAGAGGAACCCAAATCTCGTAGGGAAAATGCGTTCATCATATAATCATACACATATATATGAGAAATTACAGCTGGTTATAGCATCTACAGGAAAAGTAAATGGTGCTTTGAAAGCATGTAGCAGGAGGGACTTGATGTAATTAGGAAAGTAAGAGAAAACTTCCCTAAAAACAACGACACTTGCACTTAAATCTGAAAGATGAGGAATTAATTAAGCAGAAGAGGGGTTGGAGAGGGTGGTATGGAGAGAATTCTCGGCAGGATAAAGAGCCTGTGCAAAGGTCCTTGGTGACAGGAGGGTGCGTGGTACATTCCAGAAATAAAGAAGCCAGGCACAGCTAGGGTGCTGAGAAAGATGGGGTTCAATATGAGATGCCATAGAGCAGAAGGCAGGGGCAGACGATTAAGGCCTTACATGCTATGTTGATTTGGGCCAATGAGAAGCCATTCAAGTCATTAAAGTGGGAGTTACGTGATCGAATTGTTATTTATTTCCAAAAGGTTAGTCCAGCTGTATTGTAAAGAACAGATCAGAAGGGATAAGAAGAGAGGTAAGGGAGACCACTAGGAAGCCATTGCCGAGGCCACAGCTTGGACTGCAGCGGTGATGATGGTGGAGATGGGAGTCCAAGCGATGACTTTGAGAGATGTTTAGGAGGTAAAAATCTGTCAGTGGAGTGGGGAAGTGGGAGTGAGGTGACAAGTCTGGGTCCCAGGATTTTTTTCTGAGATGATGAGACCGGACAGGAGGTCCAGTTTGGCAGAAGGAAACCATGAGTTCATCGTAGACTTCCTGATGGTGGTGCTAAGTAGGCAGTGGGGCGTGTGCCCCTGAAGCACAGAGGAGAGAGCTGGACTGGAAACAGACGTTTATGAGTCATCTGTGCGTGGAGAGAAGTGGAGCCAGGGGCATGGGTGGGAATCTCCAGGAAGAGAAAACCCACAAGGAAGGAATTGGGAGGGTCTGAGGCTGAGCTTTGAGGAGCTACAACATTTCATGGCTGGGTGGGTGGGGGATACTGAGCTGCAGAGTTCACCCAGAAGAGGTCGGTGAGATAGCAGGAGAGGCGGAGGGTGTGGTGTGGTGCAGACCAGTCAGCTGTGCTGCGGCCACTGAGAGACGAAGTTAGATAAGGACTCAGAATTGGTGCTGGGCCCAGGAATGGAGGCCGTTAGTGATGAAGAAAGGTCTGTTTGGTGGAAATCAGATTTCAAAGGATGGCAGAAAGAGCGATGGGTGACAGGATGGGAGTGAGTACTTAAATTATTTGTGTTCTGATTTGTCTGTGGTGAAGAAGACAGAGAGAGGGAGGGAGATGGCTAGAAGGTGTCCTATGTTGAGGGAGAGTTGCTGCACGTGTCGGGTGCTATTGAAAGAGTGTCTTAGGTACATTTAAAAGGCAATGGAAAGTTCCAGAATAAACGTGAAAGGCAAAGTAATCAACGGCGTATCCTAAGAGGATGAAATCAAAAGCACAGTGCTGGAGATCAGTTTTGAACAGTTGGACGGGGAGCTCCTAATTGAAATAGGCAGGGGAAAGGCTAGGATGGGTGTAGGTGTCGGTGAGTTTATATGCCTGACAGCAGGAAGGTCCTATCTGGTTGTTTCTAGTCATGTGTGTGTGTGTGCGTGTGTATGTGTGTGTGTGTGTGTGTGGGATATTTTGCAGGTGAATGCACTGATATTTGAGGTCGTAATGTACTAGTCTTTTATTATACTGCTGACCACAGTGTGCTAGTATCTAATTTAGGATTTTGCGTATGTTATATGTATACATGAATGGTGTTGATGAACACAGGATACTCCACTGGCGTGGTGGAGTACAGACCGCCTTCCCGCAAATGGGAAAATGGGCATGAAACCCGAATTGGCCCAACCTGGGCTCATTTTAGCCTACTCCCGATGGAGAGGCGTTCCCGACACGGTACATTACCAATCGCTGTTTTGTTCTCTTCGCATCCCTTCAAATCATGACAGGCCTCTAGCTGTAGTTTCTTCCAGCTACTCTTGAGATAATTGGTCACTTCCTCTCAGGCTCCAGTGATGTTTATGATGCTCTTCATAAGGCCAAATGGCTTTCAACAACTCTTAATCTTTACCAGCTGTCTCATCAACTGGTTCTTAAAAAAATTCACCTATCGGGAGAGCTATAAAATTTGCATTTGAACACCAAGAATGATACAGTCATTTGGCACTTTGCTGGGTCCATACGTATTATGCTTCTCTTTTTTTTCTTTACCTGGGAGTTTACAGCAGTACCCACCCTATCATACTGGCTAATCAGCAGAGAGGAAGTGCATATTAACCATTCTTTTCAACATGGCCCTAGGCACGTATCTGTATAATCTGTACGTGTGTATCTGTGTCTGTGTTTCTCACATATTTCTGAAATAAAAAACATCATAATGTGTAACATAGCATTGTACAAGGCAACACTATACGAAGTAGACCTGCTTTTCTTCTTTTATGGATTTATAGTAGTTTGGGAAGATGAATTGGAGTTCTCCATGCCCTTCAATAATGTCAAGTAGTTTGTATCATAGAAATTAGCTGTTTAAAAAGTTCGAAAGAGCTGGTTCCTACAACTTTCTAAATTTAGTTTTATTTTCCCTTCTTGGGGGCACCATTGAGGGGAAGTATACATGGCCCCATGTTGACCATCATTTTTAAGTTCCCCTCTGCTTATTATTATATTAAAGTTCTTAATTTGTAAGTAAATTCTATAATTTAGATTAGCTTGGAAAAGTTATCCACTTCATGAAGATATTGTGATTATTATCAAGAGGGAATGACTTCTTAAAAACTCTAATGGTTGATTCACTTGTTAATTATTCATTTATAGTGGGGCACTGTTATGTCCAGAGAATGTTATCTGCACGTTTTCTGGCCTTTGGAAATTATTGCAGTTTCTTTATAGACCAATATAGGATCCGTTTTTGTTACTGTTCCATTAAGTGCTTAAAACAGGCATATTCCATCTATTTCTACGGCTCAAGGTTATTGTGTTAACATAATTTTCTTATTCAAATCATTTTTCCATATTTATTTTACCACTTGATGTGTTAAATACTGGATGGCATCTTAAAGGCTCTGGCTATAGGTTTTCTCTGTTGTCCTGGGTATTTATTACTCTGTGTGTGTGTGTGTGTGTGTGTGTGTGTGTTACTTAGTTTGTTGAATTAGTCTAGACTTGTTCGCAAAAAACCCAACTCACACTAACCTTCCACCAATAAAAGAGAACATATTAACTCGTTTATTGGCTTTGCTTACCCTCTTAAGAGTGTGTTTTTACCCTTTTATCATTGCACTTTTTGATGAAGGCTTTGAATATTTTTTTGGCCAAAAAATAATAATCATCATTTTATTATGACACTGCAGAAGTCAAATGTGAAGTGAAGGATCTTGCCTTATGCTACCAAAAGAATTTATTAGAAAAATTATGCCAGAATTTTAACACTTGATTTATTCTATATCTTCTAAATGTATATTTGTATTATTACCCAAATTTTGTTAAGTATTGGGTTGTCGGAAAAGTCATGACGTATTTTTTCTATGTTTTTTGTTACAAAAATGCATCATGACTTTTCTGACAATCCAAAACAAGATAAAGTAAACTTATTTTTTATAATTTTTACTTTTGAAGATAAAGTTTTGATCAAACCTCTTGAAGTAAAAAGTGTTAAAATCATGTTGTATGTCCAGTATGTGGGATGGGAGATATTCCTGTGGCCGGGAAATACATTCTACCTTAATTAGTGTCCTAAATTTTCTATTAAGCTTTTACATTCTTCTGAGTAACTTGCTTAGAGACAGAAAAGTTTGTAATGAGTGTTATAAGATTCCATCCAGAATGGTTAAATGAGATAACTTGGGTGCTTTGAGGCCCGCCCCACTCAATCTACAGAAAACGTTCCAAAATAGCCTCTGAGTATATTTTCTAAAGAATTTTGACTGCACAGTAAAATATAATTGGACGATTATTGGATTTCTCTCAGATTAAAAAAGAAAGGAAGCCTGCTAGAAAATAAACATCTATGTCCCTGTCAAGTCACTGAGGGAGTTTGACATTTACAAATGAGAACCAGAGTCATTCAGTTGCAGCCGTGTCTCCTTGTAGCTCGGGGTAGCCAGTGTTTGTAAAATACAAGTTCATGGAAGATGCGTCACGATTTAAGACTGCGTTCTGCTATGATGCCAAGAGCATAAGATCACCGCTAAAGAAAGCAGGAGAAAACTTAGTCATAAGAAACAAACATCGCAAATATATATTTTCTGTATACTCTTGGCCCATGCTGCCTTCTGTAAAATATTATAAAATGGTTGAGTTGAAACATGGCATTTGGAAAAAGAACTGCAATCGTACAACAAAATGGAACACACATTCTTGCGTGAGACTGAATACATTTGCATATTGCAAGTTCCCATAGTCAGTTGCTATTACAATTTTTATTTGGATTTTTTTTTTCCCTCAAAAGTTTGATTTCTGTTTTGTTCAGTTCTGATTTCCCAGTAATTCTTTATGTCTCAGTGGAGAAAGACTAGTGGTGGGGACCTGGGCTTTCGGGGTAGACACACCTGCCTGACCTCAAAGGAAACACATGCCTATGAGAGTTCATATTTGGAACCCCTAGAGAAAAAAAGAAAGACCACTGAGTTAGGGGGCAGCAAATCTAATTCTTTGAATCTGCCACATTTTTGCTGTCTTAATTTCTCTCTAAACCTCCGTTTCCTTTTTATTAAATGAATAAAATGGAGATAATGACACCACTCTTTTGACCTCCCAAGATTATTGTGGACTCAAATGATATATTTGAAAGCACTTTGCACACTCCAAAGCACTGACCCAATGGGAGGTACATCTAACTCCAGTAATCGTGAACGGCAACTCAACCTATAATGAAAATGGTAATAAGGATTATACCTCGAATTTAGCACACATGCGGTGATAACAGAGAAAATGTTATCTTCTGTAGCAGCTGATATGAACGTTCCTCTTAGTGAAACTATTATATATGTTTGATGATTCGTGGGAGGGGAGCTCAAAGCTAGGAGTAGCTTTGAGTGAACTTGGAATGTAGGTAAGCTTGAAGGTGCACGGGGAGTCGGGGATGCTCCTTAATGTTTCAGGTTGAGTGTATTTGAGGGGAAAAAGGGCTGAGTTTAAAAGGTGACTAAGAATAGCAAAGACTGGGGGCCTTTAGAAAATGCAGTTGTTTGCACCCACATGTACCCTGAAGTACAGCCTGTGGCTGCTCAAGGCCAGTGGCTTAAGAACAAGAAAACCCAAGACTCCCGTTTTCCTTTTTCCATCAAAAAGTTATTCTAAGCTGTTTGCGTTTTTTGGTCTTTCCAACCTCCAGGCCATCAAGAAGCCATAGCAGTGTGCTTACACATCCAGACCCAGCAGACAGTCAATGACACGCTGTGTGACGTGACCCACCGCCCTCCAGCCATGAGCCAGGCTTGTAACACGGAACCCTGTCCACCCAGGTATGTGCTGTCTTGCCCTCCTGGGACACACTGTGCCTGCAAGGTAGCACCCTTTCCTGTAGAGAGATACACGTGTGCAGACAGAGCTAGGCTAGCCTATGACTAGTTAGTTGTTCCCCTTCTCTGTTCAAGTTATGGTCCAGCCACATCCTTGCTTCAGCGTGCAAATACTGCCGTGCTAGGCAGGAGTTCCCTTTAGCCTTACTATTGCCTGCGTTGAACACCAATGAACAAAGTGGCCTGCTGCTGGCAAAACCTTGAGGTCAGCAGGTTTATTCTTATTCTCCTGTCCATCTGCTCAAGGGCATATCTTCACCGCATGCCACACAACAGAGCACAGGGTCTGAGGTAGAGTTAGCACGGGCACACAGTAGGTTCTTGGTCCATGTTTGTTGAATGACTGAGCGATCTCTTGTTTGTTACCTAGAACTCACACTGGTGTGTTAGTACCCTTCCTACTGAGTTTCTTTTGATTTTAGATTGTGGGGTGCCGTGGTATAGGCCCCAAAGAATAGGTGAGGGTGACTTATTTTTGGTTACCTTGGTTGGAAAATTTGACCTTAAAAGTTAATCTGCTTCCCTGCATAAGTCCTTGTAAGGCCCTGGGGGATTTTATCAGAGGGGAAGGTAGGTTTTCCTCTAGTTCCTTTGTCCTTGGGTATTTCTTGCTATCGAAGATTCTAGCTCACGGGTTCCTCACACAAGACCTTCGAGACTCCAGCTGCAACCTTTTCTTTCCCTCCTTTACTTTTATTGCCTCCATCACTCTTCTGTGGTAAGAGTAGCTTCGCGCTAAGTGGCTTTTTCTGGTTTCATTTCTCCTCCGATACCATGGACGTGGCATTCTTGACAATGTACGTCACGGTATTTTATAAAGCTGTCCTATCCATTCCTGACGGCCGCTGCCTTGATTCAGACATGTTTGGGCTGAAGTATTTCAACAGCTTCTAAAACTCCTGCCTCTCGTGTTTCTAGCTCTGATCCCCATGTACACGTGTGACTATGAAAGATCTTTCTAAATTGCAGAGTGGCCGTGTGAACCTCTCACATAAACCTTTCCTCTGTGGATTAAAGTCCACATTCTTTACTTTGGCATAGGTGTGAGTTTCCTGGGGCTGCCATGACACAGTTTCGCTAACCGAGTGGCTTAAAGAACGTAAATTTATTGTCTTATAGCTCTGAAGACTAGAAGTCCAAATTCAAGATGTCGGTGGGGTTGGTTCCTCCTGAGGGCTGTGAGGGAACAACCTGTTCCATGCCTCTCTCCTAGGCTCTGCTGGCCTCAGGTCTCCCCTGGCTTGAGGATGGTGTTCTCCCTGTGTTTTCCTAGTGTCTTTCTTCTGTCTGTCTCTGTGCCTAAATGTCCCCTTGGTATATGGTTGCCACTCAGAATGCATCAGGGCCTCACCCTAATGACCTCAGCCTGACTTGTTCATCTGCAAAGACCCTATTTCCCAATTGGGTCATGTTCACAGGTACTGGGGTTAGGACATCTTTCGGGGAGAAACAGCATATAAAGTCCTTTGGGGCCCTAGTTTTAGGTTCTTGAGCCACATCTCCTCTCACTACCGCCCTCACATACATCTCTCTCTCGCTCTCCTGCACCCCCCACTTCCTGGGAGCTTGCTCAGCAGCCACAGTACGTTTTCCCTGTGACCCATGCTCATGCTCACGCATGTCTTCTGGGCCTTTGTGCACATACCCTGCCCTCCGCCTGGAGCTCATCTCTACCATGAAATAAGCTAATTCTCTCCCATCAAAGTAATTATTGGCTCACTTCTCCCTGGTACAAGAAAGCCTAACAGAATGGGAGATGGGGAGTGAGACGCTGATGGAGGGGAGCACTGATGGACGTCCATAGAGGGCTGGGACTGGCTCAGGGACGTGGGGTAGAGCTCGTCAGGTCTGTCCCAGTCCAGGGATTTCAGACACGTCCCTTAGCTCTGGTTTCTTAGCCTGAATAACGACGAAAGAGGTCAGACTCTATGATCACTCGGGTCCCTTTGAGCTGCAGCCTCTCAATCCTGGGGAGCACTTTCCAGTTCATTCTCCAGTGACACCTCCAGCACGGTGCCTGGTCCTGTTGCAGGTTATCCCCATGTCTGCCCATGAGTAGTTTTAAATACTTGGGCCTTCTTTTCTTTCTAGGAACAACGGCCTTTGCTGGAGCTGCCCAGAAACTCTAGTCAGGGTTGAATTTGATTTGCATGGCTGGCCTTCCTTTGCTCTGCAAATCAGAGCAAGACTTAACTAGTGTAGAAGCTGTTTCTTCACGGTGCTAGGAGACACATGCTGCTTTCTGGGTACACCAGCCGTGGGCGGTGTTCCCGTCCCCTCGTCCCTGTGCCTCAGCAAGAGCTCGCGCACGTGACCCTCTATAGCAGTGTCCACCACGGAGCGTCCAAGTTGGAATAATAGAGCACACAGTATGTCTTGGCCACTTTGCAAAATTAAGGGTCTGTTTTTATGCAAAGGGAAATACTATTCCTCATTTCAAAGTTGCAGATTTAATTAACTTTTTGAAGGTTGAGAGTTATATTGGGGGGAAAAAAAAAAAGCCAACCAAAAAGCCAGCAGAGACAAACGGTTGATGCCAAAATAAAGGTAAGTTTACAAAAATGTTTTAGGTTCTAGAAACCAGCGGTGTAGGAATAACAGGAACAGGGAGTTGCATAATATTTTCCATACAAATATTTACTGACTCCAAGGGCAATCGCAGTAAAATATCACCCCAGGGTGAAACTTAACCACTGAGGTTGGGGGACAGTCAGTGGATCTTTATTTACCCAAAGGCAAGTGTATTTGATGTATTAGCTGGACTATCCAAGGTAGGTGGTTGTGTGTTTATTTGCTCTGTGGGGTTACTCCCTGGTCTGTCCTATAACTGCTGAGTGTCTGCTATTCGTGGAGTTTGCTTTTTCCAGGAGAGAGCCAGCAGCCTGTAGAAACATGCAGGGTTACATAATGGCCCCCCTGGTCGAAGGAGAGCCTTTTTCTCTGATGGAGGTTCCATAACTCCTAGGGCGGGAAGCAGGAAAACGAGGGGCGAGAATGATGGGTTTCTGTACCAACTTATTACCCAGTTCTTGATTTTTTTTAAAAAAAAATTCTGTATGTAGTCCACTGTGTGTTAGTAAGAAATTGTTACCTGGTTCTTGGATAAAAAAAAAAATGGTTCCATTTCCAGTCCCTTGTGCAACTAAGTGATTCTTCCAGCTTTACTTTTCTGAAAGGTGAGCACCCTGACGTCACTCTAAATAAGTGACCTACTTAATGCTGAACTGTTTTGGTAGTGAAACCAAAGCCTCCTAATCACTTAGCCACGTAGTTTGATGGTCCTCAAAATATGACCTATAGATCTACTGTTGGCGATTTCCCCCGCCTATAAAGCTACTGGAAATTTAGATATAATCAGAGTGCAACCGATAAGCTTCCAGGTAAGATGGTGTTTTGCTTTCACATCCTGCTCCTCATGCCAATCATTGATAGATAAAAATGGGGCAGTTGAAATGATATGGCAAGGGAAGACTCATGGAAACAACCACTGGGGCTGGGAAAGGGGCGGGAGAGTGAAGTGGTGAGTGGAACTGGACCTGTGCTTCTTCTGGGCTGGAGGCCCCAAAGCAGTTGAGGTCAACGAGAGGTCCGTGCCTATGGATAGTAGCGACTGCACATCTCTCTTCTGATTCATGAGAAGGGACCAAGGTCACTGCTCCTGTGTGAAGGGAAGCAAATAAAAAGCTGCTGCAGATCACTACCTGAACCCACTGTTTCCGTGAGGCCGCTCACTCAGGGAGATGGGGGGCAGACACAGAGAGTCCAGGGACCAAACACAGTTCCAAACTGGCTATTGGCTCAGCGATCGGACCTGCACTGTCCTTACAGTGCCGTGTGCCTTCTTGTCCACGTAAGATGGATTCCAGACTGGAGACCCTGGAGGGCCAGCTGGAGGCAAAGGAAACTGTAGACAGGGAGGGATAATAGACAGAGGAAAGGAAAAAAGGAGTTGGAGAGGGAGAAACCTTTCTTCACAATGAGCCTGCAAAACGGAATTCCAAAAACACAGGAAAACATCGAATCCTAATGAAGAGAGTCAGCAGATTCCACAACTGAAAGATGAATTCACTCCAGATGAAATTAAAATAGAAGAACAATGTGAAAAAGACTTTAAAGTCGGTGTTATTAGATCTTTGGAGATATAGATAAATAAATAATATCCATGTAAAGAACTAGCAATTGTGAAACAAATAGGCAGAGATGTAGTAAGAATAAGTATTAAAAAGAACAAATTAAAAAAAACAACAACCCTAGAAATGAAAATGTCAGTGAAATAAAAGAATAAGCTATAGACAATCTTAGAAAGAATTGGTTACTTGAAGGTAGTGCTGAGGAACTCAAATGAACCAAAGCACAGAACGTTGAAGATTTGGGGAGAAGAGAGAAACTTAAGAAATACAAGGTAATAAAGGCAGAGAAGCAAAATATAAAATAAACTTTACTAAAACTTAAGGGAAAAAGTATCTACTTTTAGTATCAAGAGAAATAAAAGAAATCCCCACTTAGGTATGTAATCGTGAAACTGCAGAAAATCAAGGAGGACAAGAAAATCTTAAAATTCACAAGACGTGAAAGACGCATTAACTTTTGGGTTGTCGGAAAAGTCATGACGTATTTTTTCTATGTTTTTTGTTGCAAAAATGCATCATGACTTTCCCGACAACCCAATGCAAAGAACTTATTAATAGCTGGAGTGTCCAGAAAACAAAAGGAATAGTAGCGTCAGAGTATGGAGGCAAAATCGTGCTCAACCAAGAGCTAAACTTGCTGAATTGCTATTTTGGTATGTGGACACCCACGTTTAGCCTTGTGATGGACTAGGTATCTGGAAAGCCCTTCCAACAGAGTGTGGAGTCACAACAACAAATCCTAAGCTGGAAAAATAAAAGGAAATACACACCTAGACACATGGTCATTAAACCATAGAACTCCAAAAGCAAAGAAAATATCTTGAAAACATCCAGAGAGAAAAGATCTACAAGAAGAATGATAACAACAAAAACTGATGGTTTTCTTCTCATCAACAATAATGCAATATTATCCTCTAATGTCTCAGAAAATAACCATCAGCCCAGACTTGCATACTTAGGGAAACACTATTTCAAGGATGAAATAAGGATATTTACCATGAATTTCTCAAATTTGTTAGTCTTTCAGACAGCCAAATTTTGTTTTCTAGTTTATTCATAGTGGTTATCTTTTTTGTTTTCTCTCTTCTACTTTCTTGGTTTAATTTACTGTTCTTTTGTGATGTCTTGAAATGGATACATAGGTGATTATTTTCAGCCTTTCTTTTTAATATATGCATTTAAGGCTGTTGTCTAATCATGATTTTAGATGCACCCCAAAGATTTTGACCTTTCATATTTTTAATAACATGCATTTAAAAGTGTTATACCATCTCATTTCCATTGTGATTTTTTCTTTGACCCATGAGTAATTTAGAAGATTATTGCATAGTTTCTAAATGTTGGGGGATTGTCTGATACAGTTCCACTGTGGTTAGAAAACATCCTATATGAGTCAGCTTAGGCTGTGACAACAAAATACCATAGACTGGGGGGCTGAAACACAAAAAAATGCTTTTCCTCACTGTTCTGGAGGCTGAAAAGTCCAAGGTCAAAGTGCCATGAGGGTTCAGTCCTGATGAGAGGTCTCTTCCTGACTTGCAGACAGCCGCCTTCTCACTGTGTCCTCACATGATGGAGAGAGAAAAGCTCACTGGCTTTTCCTCTTATAAGGGCACAGATCCCTTCATGAGGGCCCCACCCTCATGACGTCCTAAAGGCCTAATTTCCAAATGCTATCACATTGGAGGTTAGGGCTTCCACATACGAATTTGGGGAGGGACACAGACATTCAGTCCATAGCATGTGCTATGTATTATTTTAATCCTTTAACTTGCCTTTATTTTACTTAGAATTTATACTTCTCTTTTATTTAGGACTTAGCATATTTAATCACGTGCAAAATTTTTTTTCTTTCTACATATTTGTCAGACTTTGTGTTCAGCTTTATCGTAGCTTGATAATATGCATTAAAATATTTTAATCCTGTTTTTTACTTTGGGACATTTTAAATAACATGGGAATTCACCTGTTTCTTAAAAATGTATAGGTATTCAGATGCAAAATTAGCAGGATCTAGTCCCTTTCTTAAACAGAACTTTTTTATAGTTCCCTTAAAAAGTTATCTGTTTCATCAGGATTTTCAAAGGTATTTTTAAATTCTCTATATTCATGTTAAAGTTTGCCTTCTTGATATGACAGGGGCTTAGAGAAGTATTTTACAGCTTTTAAAATTTTTTATTATATATTCTTCAATTTTTCTGATAGCTCTTTGCTCCTATTTCATACATAATTAAGTTTCTTATTCAGTCTGCCACTTGTATAAATATTATATTTTCATTGTAAACTTTTGCCTTCATAAGTAAAAATTTCACTTTTTGCCCTACTTTATTTATCTTGAATACTATTTTTTATTTTTCCTCTTATTTACACAAGAAAAACATTTATTATAGAAAATTCGAAATGAGAAATACTGGAAAATCACCTTTAGATGAATACTAACTTTTTATCAAAGATCTAACTAATTTTTTCTGATAATGACTGCTTACTTATAAGAAAAGTCAGAAAAAATACTGGCATAAATAAAGAAAATAAAAATCCTGTAATTTAGAGATCATTACTGTTAACATTTAGATGTATAATTATCCGAACTTTTTTCTGCATGCATTTATAAATGCATAAAACAATATGATTATGCCTTGTAACTACACATCTACCTTGTTATTTTAATAAATAATGCTGCTAGCATTGTGCTGTATGAACAGGCAAGTATTTATTTTGCTCTTTATTGTTAAACATTAAGATGGTCTCCTTCCTTCCATTTTTAAAAATTTAATTTATTATTATTTATTATTATTATTATTATTATTATTATATTATTATTACTTTGCTATTATAAACTACACTGGAGCTAACATCGTACATTTTAAGCATTTTGAAAATTGCTTCCTCCTGATATAGCTCTACAGCAACTAGTTAAAAATTCATGGTTGCTAATCATAAAATATCCCCACATTAAAATAGCCATAATGTACAAAATTTGTCACCCATCAGATGGGCAGTGACTTTTTGCACGATACTGCCTGGTGTTGGGATGGGTGCCGGGAACGAGGCACTCGTGCTTCTGGTGGGAGCCTGAGGTGAGCGAGCCTTCCTTGCAGGCAACGTGGAGATCTGTACTCAAATCAGCTGCCTTGGATTTTCGTCTCTACAGATGTGTCATGAGAAAACCTGATTTTTCCAAGATCTTATTGGAAAGGAATCACGTTATATATATGTGTGTGTAGTAAATCCGATCCTCACGTAAAAGACGTTTTCTTAGGGATGTTCCAAATACGGAATCCAGGTACCCTAGAAGATTTTCCTGAAGTGTGCTTCTAAGCGTTTAAAATGTCTTCGGACACCTGTATAAATCATGCTTGCCTTGGGGCTCTATACAAAACAAGAGTGAGATTTTATCATTGATATACGGTGGTAGGATGGGAAGGAATTGGCTGCTTTTTACTCTTTCCCAAATGGATAAAAACCTTCAAACGTGCCTGATATGTCTTGCCTTTGTCTTTGTGTACTTGAATTGCATCTACTGCTGGAGATGCTTTAGATGCAGAACGTGAAGTCTGTAGGTCCAGAGGGAACTTGAAATTGTCCAGGCTCTGACTGTTGCATGTGGTCTCATCAGACAGCCCTACTCCCCAACTTTTTTTTTTTTCCACACAGGTGGCACACGGGCTCTTGGGGGCCGTGCTCAGCTACCTGTGGTGTTGGAATCCAGACCCGAGATGTACACTGCCTGCACCCCGGGGAGTCGCCCGCCCCTGCGGAGGAATGCAGAGATGAAAAGCCACATGCCTTACAAGCCTGCAATCAGTTCGACTGCCCTCCTAGCTGGCACATTGAAGAATGGCAACAGGTATGACAGCCTGGTGACGCCATGGCGCGCCCGCCAGGCCTGTAAATGTGACAGCCCTGTCTTGATGCCCCCTCCTTCCATCTTTGCAGTGTTCCAGGACGTGTGGTGGGGGTACTCAGAATCGGAGAGTCACCTGTCGGCAGCTGTTAACAGATGGGAGTTTTCTGAATCTCTCAGATGAATTGTGCCAAGGACCCAAGGCGTCTTCTCATAAATCCTGTGCCAGAACAGACTGCCCTCCACACTTAACCGTGGGAGACTGGTCGAAGGTAAGCACCATTCCCAGCTTTACAGTCCCTGCTTTCTTGCTCTTCCTTTGTTTCAGCCTCTCAGTCTTTCCTCCCCAAGATGAGAGCTGGGATGCCTGTGCGGTGAAGTCTCCACTCCTTAAAATCATTATATAGCATTTCCCTGCCTTAACTCACAACGACCTGAGTTATTACTGCATTTCAGTGGGGAGGTACTTCTAAGCATACATGTGGTATGACCACCTGGCTTGTTGTGTCCTTGAGGCCAGTGGCCACGAGGTTGCTGACAGGTCCTACAGACTTCCGAGCAGGTAGATACTCTTCCTTAAGAGTCTTTGCAAAGTCAGGGAAAATGCAAAATGGTGTTGAAGTAGTGATCTTTAGAAAGGTTCAGACCGAACTGCTAACACAGAACAGGAAAATCTTTCAGTGTGTGTGTGTGTGTGTGTGTGTGTGTGTGTGTGTGTGTGTGTGTGTNTGTGTGTGTGTGTGTGTGTGTGTGTGTGTGTGTGTGTGTGTGTGTGTGTTGGGGATGGGGTGGATTGCTGGGGGAAACAAGAGAAGACAAAAGAGAAGGTCACCCACCTGAGCTGGGTTGAACCTGAGGCCGGCCACCTCTCTAGGCAACCATTCGTCAGGGAAAAAGCAAGCTCATGCATGCTCCAAGGGGTCAGCCCAAGCACAGTCGAGACCTCTTCCCATCCCAGCCAAGGTCACATCTCTAGGAAGCCTCCATCTGGGAGAGGAAACAGGTTGCTCACATGCACAGGACAACAGAGCCAGCCTGAGCCCTTGAAACCGAAAGCCAACATTCGGACTCGGGTCTGGTCAGGCACGCATGTTGCTAGCAGTTTGGATTTCCTAGTGGGTTCAGTGTTTTCCCTGTTAGTTGAAATTTCCTCTCATTTTATTCCATTGCTTTGTTTTGGCAGAGACTCCCACACCAAATTGCCGCCCTCCCTAAAGTTTTCTGCCAGACTGGTCCCTCTGCCACAGGGTGGCTCACTTAGGGGCAGCCGTCCATCCTGTGGTTCTGGATGAGGCCATTCCACACTGAAGTTGGCCACTAACGCTGGCCCCAGCAAGGCTGAGGAGCCGCATCGAAATTTCCATTGTTCACAGAGCCAGGCCTCGGGCCTGTCGTTGGAATAGCCCTCTCTCCCGGATGCGAACTCTATGCATGGCATGGTTGGGCTTTGTTCATTCAAAGACTGATTTGTTTTTCTTGATTTCCTTAGATCTGAAACTCAGTTTTAGGCAGAAAGGAGCCCTCAATTCTTCCACTGCTTTCCAAGTTATAAGAGAGGAACATTGACTCATATATGAGGTGGTCCTCCCAAATGATGGATTTCTGTGATCTGCACCCCCTTAGCCTGTATTGTTGCCCCATCCTAGATTAAATCAGTAGCCTTTCCTCATTTTTTACTCTCTACACTTGGATGGAGCACTTGACCATTTTGTCTGCATGTGTCTTTCTAACTTCATGGTGTTCTTTGGTGCTTTTTTCTTTTTTTCCTGCTTACCTGGCTGCATCTTTTCTATTGGTTTGTCTTCTTCCAGATCTCCAAAAAGCTCAATATTTGACCTTTTGATTTCCATCACTGCATTTTTTTCCCCTCCATACTAGATTCTGTGTCCTGTGACTTCTTTGCCCTCTACAGATGATTCTCTGTCTCCAGGAATATATTCAGTTGTCAGAAAAGTCATGACACATTTTTGCAACAAAAAACATAGAAAAATGCGTCATGACTTTTCCGACAACCCAATAGTCTCTAACCTTCTGTTCAGTACCATGTTCCCAGTTCTCCAGATAGGTGACATCCTCATCATGGGAAAGCAAAGGGACAACTGTTCATCTGTGTCCCATCCAGGCCTCCATCTTCCTTCCTGCCCTGTCAGTGCTCCCGCGTCTTTCCGACACTGTGGTCTCCTCTGACTTCTTCACCGCCTCTGACCTGCCAACTTTCAGCTCTTGAAACTTACCCATATGCTAAGTAAAAAGGTAGAGGTCTCTGTAGGTGAGGAATTTTACAAAGAACAGCTCAGGGTATGTCTGGGACACATGGATTTCCAAATTGAGGACACGGTGGAAGGTGTTTGAATAGGGAAGTAAAATGCAGGCGTTAGACATGTAATTCTGGCTACAGCGTGGACAATAGATTAGGGAAAGAAGGAACCAGAGCTTGAGTGATCTAGTTAGATGGAAATTACAGTTAAGACTGATGAGATATTGAAGCAGTTGGGATAGAGGCTATCAAATCGTTTTGAATGATATTTAGGAGATAAAACTGACAGATTCGGTGATTGAATTGATAATAAATGAGTGAAAAAAGAGGGTTTTCCCAGTTTTCTGTCTTGGGTAGTTAATGGATAGAGATGGCATTAATTTTAAAATTAATTAGTGAAGGAAAAACATATTTGAAAGGTAACTTGAAAGGGAGAGAGAATGAGTTTTCTTTTGAAAGGCATGTATTTTGAGGATCTGTAAAGGTATTGATAAAGAACTGTTGCTCTTCAGAGATCTGCATTAAAGTTACAATTTGGGGAATTATCAACATTTAGGTGGTAGCTGAAACCATGGAAAATGAATCCCATGCTACCAAAAAGTATTGGGTTGTCAGAAAAATCATGATGCATTTTTGCAATGAAAAACATAGAAAAAATACGTCATGACTATTCTGACAACCCAATATATTATTGATAGCAGTTCCTTTGCACAGTTAGGAATCATCTAGCGAAGCAAATGCATGACGGCAGCAGAGTTGTTTGATATCCCAAATCCCTCTTTATAAAAAACAAATAATAGAGCAGTTGGGATTGCCAAAGGAAAGGGAAAAAAAATCACCAACAACACAGATAACAGCTTTAACAAAAGTGATATACGTGAGTGAAGCCAAACCGTAACCAATAGTGGAAACTGTGTAGAAACTGCACGTTTAGCAACTAGGCAGAGGTAAAAATGCAGACAGACAAGGCTGAGAACCATGGGACATAGACATCAACAGGGAAGACCACCTCAGGGAGATAGTCCTGCTCTGAATAGAACCTCAGCAGGCAGGTCTGAGAGCAGTCGCTAAAGCTGAAAGAAGGTCGTGGGGCCCAGTGTGAGGCCGAGTGTGAAAAAGGTCACGGGAAGCAGCTCCCATCCATCAGGACTTCAGAAACAGCTCAGAAGGAACACAAGGGGTAAAGGAGGAGAATGTTCAGATCCCCAGGAGTGAAAGACTCCAGAAGGTACAATCTCAGAGCTGTGGCCAAATTATTGAGCGCTCCTTTTTGACACCAGAGGAAGGAGCCCTTGACAGTGAAAATCACTACCCTGAGACACTTTCACGCCTTCACGCCCCCCCCCTTATCTTTTCCTAAAAGGAGAGAAAAAAAATCTATTTCACTTCCGTAGGAGCATCAGTACACCCATACAGAGATACTGTAAGAGGAAAGTATCAGTGACATACCAACGGAATGAAAACCTGGCCTCGGGGCGGATAAAAATATAACTTACTATTGCAAAATGAGCTAAAAGAAATTAGGAAATCTATAGAAACAAATCAGAAATAGAAAAATTCAGAAATTAGATGAATAAATAATGGGGATGTGAAAAGATAGCTGACAGGGTTCTAGAAAGAATCAGGAAACTGAGGGAAAGATTTTCAGAAATGTAGACTAAATCAGAAGGAACACACGAATGAAGTGTTATAAGGGGAATAAAAGAGGGAGGAGAAGAATCGAAGAAATTAAAAGGATTCATGCAAGGGCCGGCCGAGTAGCACGATGGTTAAGAGCTGGCTTGGAACGCCAGAGGGCCCCGGTTCGGATCTCACAAATGAGGGCCAGTGACACTGCCCTCCACAGCTAAGATGCTGAACAACAGCTCAACCTGGAGCTGGGCTGCCGTGAGTCGCCGGCGACGGCGTAGGCTGCAGCCCCTGCGGCAGTGGGTTGCCATGGGCTGCCGTGTGTAGTCAGCAGCCAGCATAAGCGACCAGCAGCCACAGTGAGCGGCCGTCCAGATGCCAGCGACTGATCTGTCTCGCCTGGGAAGAGCGCAATGATGGTGCCAACTTGGGCCAGTGAAGCAACGTCCTCCACAACTAGACTGAAGAACAAAACGACAGCAACTTGTCTGTTTCCCTTCCCCCAATTCCCCAGCACTGTTCCCATTCCCCCAATTCCCCAATTAAAAAGAAAAAAAAGGATTCATGCAAAAATCACAGATGTAAAAGACAGGGAAAGAAAATCCAGCAAATGCGTGTAAATCTAATTAGAGTCCTAGAAAGAGAAACCAAAACAAATAACAGAATGAAACTATAAATAAAAGTCTCAAATCACCATATTGAAAATGTCATACCCCGTACCTGGGAAAATTAACCCAGAATGGTGACTATCAAGACATACTCTAAAACAACTGGATTTTAAACATAAAGAAAAATGTATTTGCATCTCCAGGAAAAAGCACCAAGTCCCATGTTAGGAAAAGGAAATAAGATTAGTGTCAGACTTCTCGACAATATCACTTCATGCTAGAAAACTGGAGCAGCATATTGAATATACTCGAAGAAAGAAAACGGGAGCCCAGGATTTTACCTCCTGCCCCTCTGACCTTTGAAAGGCCACAGATGACTGCTTACAAAGATGCAAGAACTCAGGGCATGGTGTTGCCATGAGCTCTTCCTGAGGAACTGAACGGATTTCTATAGAATAAGCCACAGACACTTTGGCATAAGGTTGCTGCTTTGTGCATTGTACTTAATGGTGCTGGTTCTGTCATCTTCTCTCTCTGGGAGTTGAACATTCTCTAATGACAGTCTGACTTTGAACGTAGCAGACACAAGGTCACATAAGACCTTTATTCAGAAAAAAAAGTTGACAAATGATACTCCCACTTGTAATGGGCAGGAGAACGCAAATGTTTATCATTAGAAATGGCTTATGAGTGGTGCTTGGCAAAGACTTAACCACTGTGTTATATGAACAAACATGGCTAACAATGGCAGTTTAATAAAAAGTTGAAATTAATTTTTATTATACGGGAAACTCCTAGATAATGATTTGACTTGTTAAGAAAAACATAAGTTGGTAAATGGCGATTTGTAATTATTTGTTCAAAGGGTTACAAAAGGCTTTCCTCTGTACTGAAAAATATTAATAATTAGGGCTTTCTGTGAAAGATGACATAAAGGCATTTTAAAAAAAATTCCATTCCCCTCCTTTGAAACCACCAACAAAAAACCCCACAAAGAGAATGAAAGAGAGAGAACACCCTGTCTCCAGTGAACAATGAAATGGCCACAATCCCCAACTATAAATTATCAAGCACACCTGCCAAAGACCAGAAAATCTGGACCACAAAGAGAGGGAAGGCTGAGAGCTGACAGACATTTCCTCAGGCGCCGAGCAGGATACAGATTTGTCTAGGAGTTAGTGTGACAGCCCAGAAAGGCCTAGTCAACAGCGCTTTGATTACAGAAACCAGACAGGGGACCACAAGTCGCCCCTGAGGACACTGGGAATGTCCCCACAGAGGGAGAAGCCACACTGGGCATGCGTGCTGGCTGGGGACAATGGCCGGAGATGGAGGGGTATGAAGGAAGGGGCGGCCATTGCTGGATAGCCCTCAGGGAGCCAGTGATGTAAGAGCCTCTTCTCGGAGTCATGCCACCCATTCAAGCACCAAAATCGGAAGAGAGATATGGGCAAAGGAAATAAGGAATTTGGTGACAAGCATTGAAGACAACAAAACATGTCAGCTGCCTGGGCTTATTCCTCCCCGTGTTATTCACGAACAACCAGCTCCAGCATAAAATCGATGCGTCAAAATAGGGGTGGGGATGGGGGAAGAGAAGGGGGAGGGCGAAAGGAACAGAAAGGAAGTGTCACAGGCATGACATGACGTCGCAAAGATGTCACCCAGAGAAACGTTACCGCAAACGGGCTCTGTATTCCAGAGGAAATTATAGTCTTGATGTCTGGGGGAAAGTGGCTTAACGATGAAGTTTGAGTTCCAAAAGAAGACGATAAAAAGACAACTGGAGGAGTCCAGGGGGGAAAAAAACTAAAAACAAGAAAAAAATGACAGAAAAGTTATATTATGAGCAAGAGCAACAAAATTAATGGAAACGACTGAAAACAGAGATATGGTAACCAAGCCGGAATAACTCATATCAAATGATATGGAAAAGAGTAAAGATGTAAAATTTGTTTGTAGAGGCAATGAGGAATATGGTAGACAGAGGAGATCAAACATTAGTGTAACTGGTATTTATGAGAAGAACAAAACAAATGGAACAGAAAAATATTCAGGGATAATAGAGGGGAAAATTCACTGCCTTGAATTAAAGCTTTAATCTGCAAGTGATAATGGTATAGCGCATGTGCCAAGAGCATAGGAAGACTGAGACGGAAGTGTCTTAAGGTTCTGAACTTCGTGGATAAAGAAAGAGCCCACAGGCCTCTGAGCATAAAAGGCAAACAGTTAACAAAATTCCCTGTTTGGCCTCACCAGTCTTCACAGTGGCATCCAATGCAAGAAGACAATGGAACAGGGACCACGCGATTCGAAGGGAAAGAAAGTGTGACCCAAGGATTTTCTGTTCGTCTCGGTCGTTCTTCATGGAGAAAAGCAACAGAGACAGAAGAGGGTGCCATTCTGATAAGCCCTTCTTGAAAAACCCTCAGGGCCAGGGTGAGACACCCAGATGACTCAAAATAAAGAACCCAGCATGTACAGACCCTGATCAAAACGATGGAAGAGGAACAAGTCCTTCATTGAAGTACAGAATTAAGACTAGTCAACCAACAAGTGCATTTCAGAACAGACCATAAATGTCAGTAACTGTGACATTATCTGACTAAGTGAACAAAAACTGTGGGGTGTTGGCAGAGGAGAGGTGAGAGAAAATGGAAATGTGCCTATTTCCTCTCCCTTCTCAGCAGCAAGTCGGTAGGTACTCTTGAAATTCAAAATCTGTCATTAAAAATAACCACTCAGATCTCTTGTTGGTTTCTTTCATCTTCTTGCTTAAGTTTAGAGGGCTCTTGAGAAACTAACCGCTTACAGTGAAAAAAAGATCAGACATTCAGCAACTCTTTTCATTTTACTTTAGTCTTTTCTAATAGACTTAATAAAATTGCTAATATACCTAATATAAAATTTCTAATATACCTAATTAAAATGGTAAATTGTGTGTGCACACAATGATTATCAAATATCAATGTTACGTACACAATAAGCATCAAATATTAATGTTATTTTATGTATAGCAGTTTGGGTGATTTTTTTTTTAAACTTACCTCTTATACGCTTTTCCTATTTCTTGAATTCTTGATCATAGGTATGTATTGTTTTTTGGTTTTGTTGTTTTAAAGCAAAGTTATGTTACTCTATAAATAAATAGCTAAAAATAAATTTAACGTCAATTCCACTGCTAAAAAAAGAAAAAAACCACTACATAATAATTACTGGAAATTAACTACTATCTCAGAAAGAAAGAAGAGAGAAAACCAGGAAGAAAGGATGGGAGGGAGGAAAGAAAGGCAGAAAAGAGAGAAGGAAGGAAGGGAAAAAGAAGGAAAGGGGAGAGAAGGGAACAGAAAAAGGGTAAGGAGGGAAGAGAAAAATGGAGCAGAGGGGAGAAAACAGGGCAGCTCCATATTTTTAAAGACGCTGGAGCCTAGGACATGGCTTACTTATTGGCACACCCACGCATCAAGTTCCCTCTCGTTGCTGGCTGGCTGTGTCTGCTCACGCTCCATTTGACTCTTGCGCAATTCTCATTGCAGTGCTCTGTCAGCTGTGGTGTTGGAACCCAGCGAAGAAAGCAGGTGTGTCAAAGGCTGACAGCCAAAGGCCGGCGGGTCCCCCTCAGCGAGACCATGTGCAGGGATCTTCGGGGCCCCCCTCTTGTGAGAGTGTGCCGGATGCCTGAATGCAGCAGTGAGTATGCGAAGCCGGGCGTCATGGGTGTGTGGGTTCTGTCCTGTCTGGTTCCGATGGCTTCGTCTTCCAGATATCAGCATATCCCTGATCTGTAGGCCGGAAGTGAGAGCTGCTTTAAGTAGCAAGCAGTGTAGTGTTGAAGACCAAGATAAAGTTCTAAGAACAGCCTGTTTTGTGAACTGTCCACACACGGAACCAATGTGTCTTTCAGGGTTCCTCACCTCGGTTTCTACTTCCTTCACCATGACATTGGCTTGCTCCACGTAGAATTCTTGAGTGTTCCTTGTAGAAGTTAAGCTGAAATCTGGTTTCCTTTGCTAATGATACATTTGGGCTCTTCTGTAAAAGTAGAATGGCTAAAGCATTTCTGAGAATCCAAGCATCTCTTCTAGTGTATAATCTAAGACCCATAATCTAAGACCAGCAAGGAGGAACCCATGAAATAGCATTGGTTTTTGAAAAGGGCATTTTGGACACTTCTTCAATTAACTGTGAAGTTACAATTAATTACAATGATCAAGTTACAATTTAAGCTTAGTATTAAGAGCTCACCTTATGGCTGCACGATATCCCAAAGCTGTTGTATGTATACTGTGTTGCATTCGCCTGTATGTTCAGTGTACTGTATGTTCAGTATGTTCAGAAGAGAACACATGTTTACATGTGAATGTGTATGTTTCATGTAGGAGGGTGACAAGAAAGCTGTTGAGGGCCGTCCCTACAGCAATTGAAGATAAGGCAGCAGGGTGGTGGTGGGAGGTAGGGGTAGTGGGCCAGGCACACTGGGAAGGCACAGTTTCTGGACCCAGTCCCTGCTTTGGTTTCCACCAAAGTCTTTAATTATTCACCTGTAAAATCACATTAATTACCTCAGGTACCCTCCTGAGCTTAGGGTAAGGAAAACAAGAAAACAGAAATCAACTATTATTTTAATGACGCTTAAGGAAAAAATATATATATATATATAATCTAAGTTGACCAACGACGTCCCTAGAGAAACTTTCAGAGCAAAGTGAGAAATACAATAATAACCTTCCAAAAAAAATAATAATAGCATTTATTGAGCAGTGACTGTGTGGAGTTTCTTTCAGGCGTTGAGTCATTTAGTCCCTACAACATTGTGAGACAGATATAATCCCCGTTGAGAGACGAGGAATTGAGGAGTCTAAGATTCTTAGAGAAGGAGCTGCCAGTTGGGCCCCTAGGCCTGCTGACCACAGGTCTGTCTGGCTCCTGAGCCCACGC